TCCTTCTTTTGTTCTCAGGACTCCAAACTCAAAACTTAACACTACAAACACTAAAAACTTTATGGATTAAACTGTCATTGTTCAGATAGCCTGGGAACCTACCACCATTTTCACAGTATTTCCTTGGTGAATTCACTCAGCTTTCAAGCAAGTGATTTAAAATTGAATATAGGATTACATTTCCTGGGGATGCTGTAAATCTTTTGTCTATTCCTTATAGTTCCTACCACCATCCTCTAATGACAGCAAGAGCTCACAGTTGCTTATTGGCTGAGAGAAACGTCAATTTTCCCCCATAGATCATATAAATCTATAACTATCAATATATTTTAAGTAGCTGATTCATAATACTACTCCCACATGTAAAGTGGTATCTTAAAGCACAGCATTGGAATTTTGTATCTCTAAAAATATGAATAAATTGAGGGGGAAATCTGCATAAAATAAGGCTTTTTTGGTTATAATTTATTCTAAGATACAGTTGTAATTACATGTTACTTCTTAAGAAAAGAATGATTTTATTTACTACTTATGCATTGACATGTTAAACATAGTGGATGAGCTCAGACTATATATAATATAGCTTTGCAAAGGTATTAAAGGGGAAATGCAACCATAAATATTTTTGATTTATTGACCATTTTAGTTTGTGGCAAATACACCTAACATTTTCATGTTAGGCTATATTTTTGTGACCACGAAGACACAAATTATTCCCAGTACATGGTGACTTCATTTACTCTCAGTGCCTATTATTTTATTGTGGGTACATCTGGAGACATTATCTTTCACAAAAGGGCCCTCTTGTTCCTTAAGTAATAACAACCTTTCTCACCCTGAAACAATGACGTATCTTATGATTGCAGCTTCAAACAAAAGATTCCCACACCCTTTCAGAGCAGATTATAGTCCTGATTCCCTCCCACCCTGGTGAGCCTGGCACTCAAAAATTTCTAACTAAGTCCTTTCTTTGTTAATGGATGAGCATGAAGGGGTCTTTGTTTACAGGCACTCACTGCACCGGGGGCCCATCCTTTGCCTCTGCTGCTGGGCACATGCAGCAGTTGCTTCAGTAGCACCTTGAACAGTGTTGTTTTCCTTTGTCACAAAGCTTAAGCGTAATCACTTTTGTTCAGAAATCAAACCCCACAAACCAGGTGTTTTTGACAGACACATTGACTCTGGAATGTTCTTTGCCCCATGTAAAGTCAGCAACAATTCTTGATTAGATTCCCTCTCTATCCCAGTTAATTTCCAGGTGGTTTGGGTCCTGGAAACGCTCATTGTGGCCACCCTAATGACCACATTTTGTGTTTAATGGATTTGTTGTAGTTTAGAGCAATTTAGAGGTACTCTATGGCAAGGATCTTATTCTTTGTTTTGGCAGAGGATAAGGGAGATTAATTATTAGGGTATTGAATGAAGTCAGGTGACTGGGATGCTTGGGTTGTTAAGGACGGGAAATAATGGAAGAGGTTGAACATCATGTTTCTGAAGCCATTTAGCTTCAGAATAACATTTATCCAGTCATTGCTATAGGAACATTACATTGCATAACTCTCCTTTTTTTTTAACTTGGCAAAGTAACAGTAAGGTTTCATTCAGAAACTTTTAGGCACGCATTAAAAAGAATATAAAAAATAAAAAAGGACTTCCCCTTTTTGTGTCAGCTTCTTTTGGATAAGAATCATGTATAATCTCTTGAACTTCATGTGGAATTCCCTGAGATTAATGTGCCTTCAAGATTCAGCCAGTTCTAGTGACATTATGCAAAAATGAATCTTTGAGATTATTGCCTCTCAGTTGTTTTGAAAGACAGTATTGTAATTGTTAAAGATTCTGAATTCTAGGGTCAAAATATCTGGGTCTTCCATATACTAACTAATTCACTTTCATAGGCCTCTGTTTTCTCATGTGTAAAATGGGAATAATGGTACCTACTCATGGATCTGTTGTATTAAATGACTTTATACTTGTAATATGTTTAGAACAGGGCCTGGCAGTAACTACTCTGTGTTGGTTTGTTCATTTTATTAATTATATCGTCTTAGCTATAATATCTGTATGCCTATTACTTTTTAATAAAAATGTAAGGTTTTAAGGAGATATTAAGATGTCAGATTTTCTCACTAAGTAAATTCAGTCTATAGTTTGGTGATAAAAACAGGTAGAAATACTTACATTGCTTTGCCATGAGAAATCTAGTGGGGAAATTAAACACCTGAACATTAATGCTTGTCTGTTGGAACTTGATAGAGCCACCTTGTGGTCTTCATATGACATGTGGACTTTGTCTTCAATTTGAAGAGCTTAGAATAATGATACTTAAAGTGTCACCAACTACTTCAAGCGTCACCAACACATATTTTAAAAATATAAAATGAAGGACTCTTTTTGCACCATCAGAGCCAGAAATCTACATTTATTAAAAGCTTCTCCAGTGATTCTTATGCACAGTGAAAATTGGGAACAGTTGTGCTAGAACAGGGACCCCCCACCCCACCCCAACCTAGACACTCATTAGAATCATGGGAGAAGCATTTAAAACACAATGCTTGGATCTGAGCCTTAATCTTTAAGTTGTTTTAGGGTGTGGCACCGAGCACTAGTGTTACCAGGTGACCATGAAGTGCAGCTGAAGAGCAGTGGCATTAGAATACAATTAGTAAAGGTAGCTGTCGCATAGTTTATTGCATTAAGCATGTAAGTGGACTTGATACTTTGAAAAAGTCATTATAATGATTAGCAGGAATTGGGAGACTGGGTGTAGGGTAAGTGAATTAATCAGGCTTTTTATGCCACTAGCCTCTGTGACTATCACGTGTGGCCTTGATTGTGTTTATGCGGAAGACGCTTGGGAGTGTGGACATGAGACACACATGCCTGATTGTGGACACCTGGGGCATGGGTGTGCATGCATGTGCAAGTGTACATACCTGCACTTAGAGGCTGCGATAAAAGCAGTGACCATGGGAGGATGAGCTGTGTGATTACAGAAGAGGTGAGACCATGAGAAGGAGAGAGAAAGAGAGAGAGAGAGAGAACGAGAACCAGAGTGCCTGGTGTGTCTGTGTATCTGGTTCCCTGAGTGAGCATTAAAGCCTGAAAAATCCACTGAGGGCTCCGGGACTCTCTTTATCTCTTTATCCTTCTGTCCAAATGGATCATGAACCTGCCCTGTGCATGCTGGCACTCGACGGGGGAAATGGGAACTTGTTCTTGGTTACTGAATTTCTACCTGGGGTGAGGGAAATGTTCTGGAAATGGATGGAAATGGACCATGAGTGTCCATAGTGCCATGGAACTATACACTTAAAAATGGTTAAAATGGTAACTTTAATGTTATGTATATTTAACATAAAAAAGACTAAGAATATCAGGTGTTCTAATCTAGTGGGAAAATGCAGCCTTTGAAGAGGAGAATGCAATGTTTGGAAAGTTGCAAAATAAACAGAGGAGAATTTTCAGCTGCTGGTTGACAGGTCTGATGGCAACTGCTGTTTCAGACTGAGCAACGGCTGGGTGTACTGAGTGTGTGAGTGAAAAGATCCTGAAGTTGGCTGCCAGCATCTCTGGGGACAAGCTGGTGTCACTGAGCACCTGCTCTGAAAAATTCTCTAAGACCCACACGTTTCTGTTGCACATTATAGCTCTGAACTGCCTTGCATCCCATGCCAAATATTAAGCATGCCTAATGACTGGAGCAGAGCAGCCTTTCCTGTGTGGGAAACATGTGTCCAAATCTGTCCTGGGTCAAATTGTTAGGGGGAATGGATGTCCTGAGCAAACTCCATACAGGCTTTGTGGATGCCAGCCCCACTCCATCAAGACAGTGGGAACTGCAAATCCCATGATCCCCAAAGGGAGGTGGCGAGGACCTAAGGGCAGAGTGAAGCAGTCATTTTCTCCGGCTTGTGTTTATAACCAGCCATGTGAGGGGTGGGGGGCTCACTCTCTTGCCTTGTGCTCTTGGCCAGGCAGGTTTGGTCTTGGTGGGTCATTTGGGATTCCAGGTCAGCAGAATGGGGAGGATGCTTTTAAGAATTTATCTCCCTCTTTTTCTCCCTGATTTGTTCATCTCCTCAATTTCCCTTTCCCTTGTAAATGAACCTTTTGTTAACCTTCTTTGTGTACCTGCAGTTTAAGTCCCCTTTAAGCACAGGGGAGAGGATCCACCATCGGGCAACCCATTTTATATCGGGGTTGGCCTGTAACAGAATCACTGAAGATCTTTCTCAGGACCAGGGAGTGGTATATTCCAGGACAGACATCCCTTTGGGTTTTGGGGTGGCAGCGAAGTCTGCAGAGAATGCAAGAAAGTAGACCTCATGGTGGTTGTGGTATTCCAATAAGCAGGCATATAGGCAGTGTCTGGGATTTTACAAATGAAATTTGACTAAAGTAATGAGAATAATTTTTTTTCTGTCAATTTGCTACACAGTGTTTTATGGTATAGAAGGAAAGTTTGGATTCAAACCCCAGTTCTGAAACTTATCAGCTATAGGGGCCTGATGAGTCATTAAACTTGAATAAGCATCATTTTCTCTTTATTCAAAAAACAAAATAAATAGCTTATCCATCTACCTAAGTATGGCTTTTAGAGCTAGAAATTATTATTGTAAAGCATTTAGTACAATGCTTGGCAAATAATGGGAAGAATGATTTTTATGTTCCACGTACTATTACTGAGAGGGGGATCTTATGGGTATAAGTTGATTATATATCTTGATTTTTACAAGTCGTTTTCTGGGTCTTTTTCTTGTATGATATGATTCCAGGCTAAAATGTTTTAATCACCTTGATTTTCCAAAACATAATTTTGGGGGGAACTTTTATTTACTTCACTGGACTAGATAAAAAATATCAGAGAACCTGAAATAATAATTCAACTGCTCCGTACTTCCCTATGCCTCCCTGAACTATAATCTAATAATTAACATATTTTTAAAAAGTCATACAATCCTCATGTTTTTTAACCTTAACTTTTTTCTTTTTCACAGTGACAGTGTATCATGTATACCACTGATTCCAGGGGACACTCCCCTGCTTTCCTACAGCCTCAGAATGGAAGCAGCCATCGCTCATCTGGCTACGTTCCAGGCAAGGTTGTCCCACTGCGGCCCCCTCCTCCTCCAAAGAGCCAAGCTTCAGCCAAATTTACCTCCATCAGACAGGAAGCCCGGGCTACCTTTGCTCTTTCACCTGAAGGACAGCAAACCCAGAGAGAAAGCCAAAAGCAGAGAAGGCACAAAAATACTTTCATTTGCTTCGCTATTACTAGTTTCTCATTTTTTGTTGCACTTGCAGTCATTTTAGGAATATCCTCCAAGTATGCGCCAGACGGTAAGTGCACGTATACTTGAAGAACTTATGCTGGGGAGGAGAGAGAAGGGGGAATAGTAGAATGAAATGGAAAAAAAAAATTGTTAGCTTAAATTGACTCTATTTAACTAATATGTCAATTAGAGAAAGTTGGGTGACACTTCTTAGAATGAGAGCAATTATAAGAATCCACTGGAAGTAATAAAATTCAGGGATTGCCTTTCCTTTGTATTTTGCTACTTTGTGGCAGTCTCCAGATGTTCTTGGAACATTTCTTTTCAAAATGTTAATTTTAGAAGTCTTCATTGTTACATTAACAGGATTTCATCCTTTGTAGAAGTTATTATTTTCATATTGGCAGAAGTTTTTTGGGTCATTAAGGTAGTGATAAACTGCATTTGATTATTTTAATGAAAATAATATTTATGTTCTGCCATTTGAAACCAGTTGGGGAGACCATTCTGAAAGAGAAGCTTCAGATATTTTTGAGGAATGATAGATAAAAAGGAAACATCTAATAGGAGGTTTAAGTTCTGATACATTTGTGTGAAAACCACTCATTACTTCGTAAGTAAATATCAAATAGGAAGGAAATAGCCTTTGCTTTTCAAATTACTGCGTTGTCGGGAAAGTCATGACAGATTTTTGCTTGGCTAGAACAGAAAAAAATACATCGTAAATTTTCTAACAACCCAACAGTAATGTATTTCGACTTTAAATGATTTTGAAGAACTTTATTGTTATCCGCAATATATTACCAATAAAGGATTGCCTTATGAATGGATCCCATCTATCCACATGAAAATCAGAGGGCTTAGGGCTGTGGAAGGAGAAGCAGACCATAATCTAGAATGGGATCCATCTTTGCGTGTATTTTACAGCGTGCAGCAGATTTTGTCAAATTAAATGCCACCTTTAATGGACAACATTTGAGAAGTATTTTTACCATTTATAAGACTTGGTGCTTTACAGATTTAGAGACTTTAAAGTCCTAGCAATGATAATTCCAATACTTCTTTTCTGACCATGCCTGTAGACCACATTATAAATACCTAATAATACTGCATCCCATTTGGTCTCTCCTTGACTTTTTTGGGAATAAAAGAAAAGATTTGTTTTTATCAATTTCTGCATACAAGAACTGAAGTGTAGGCCAGAGGTGCAGAAGAAGGGTGGTGGTAAGAGGATTTACCAGAGACAGTGTGGGGAGCAGAATAGACAGATTACTGAAATACACTGCTGAGGGGAGCAGCAGATGAGACAAGGAGAGGTCTGCTGCACCATGTGGCTTGCTTTCTGGGGATCAAACTCTTGCAGCGACTGGTGGTAGCTTGATAGCCCTTAAACTTTAACCCCTGTGCCACCAGAGAGGCCCCTCACCTTGACTTTCTTTTCCCCTTTGTCCAGCAGAGTAAACAAGTTCACTGCTATTGAGTCATTCTTTACAAGTAATCTTCAGGAAAGACTTGTTAGATTAGTAGAAAATCAGGGCTTAAATCTGTGGCTTTTATTGATGTTTCATATTCTATCTAAGACATTGAATCAGCGATGTGGTTCCTGAAATCAGCATTCAAGAGTTTTACAATTTGGTGGTCTAAGTGCAGAGTAGCAGTGGAAAGATCTGGTATACTGAACTATTTCAGGGTCAGCCTCCCTGTGGTTGTATCTATCACGTGACCTTGATAATGTACCCACTGCTCAACAAACTGATAACTAGGGAGATGGGGCTGGCCGAGCTATTTTTTAATGTATTCTGTAGAGCACATATTTTCTCATTAAGTGTACTTTACTACAAGGAAACAGACTGGAATTTTTGGTGATGGTTCTCATGAAGCATGTTCTTCTGGGGAATAATTATACATAATTAAGTGGAATTATAAAACTATTGTAATAGACTCTAGATCTCAAAAGATTGGATCTCCATCTGTAACTGAGTACAGCACTTGTTACATGGGGCAAACATTTACTTCTGATATGACATCATGGAGGATTCCAGCTAGATGATTTCTGGGAAGAATGGAAGGTAGGAAAAATATTCAAGAAATCCTAAGTATTAAGTCAGAACAAATGCAAAAGATTTCTTTCTTCGATGGAAAGAAAAGTTTAAAGTTTCTTATTACTTATTTATCAGAATTAAATAGCAATGGCAAAAATTAATTGCCTGAAATAATTGTCAAGGACTTAACCAGTGAGAGCAATTTTAACTAGTAGTTACTATCATCTCAAAGAGAAAGCATACTCCTAGGGCAATATGAATGCTTAGAAATGAAATGGCATGGCATTTGCAAATGACTTGTTACGCCAGTTCAAAATAAGAAATCAAATTTTTTGTTCCATGTGAAAGAGTATCTTTGTGTTTCGCCCAATCTCTCTACTTTTTCTCATATTATTCCCCATAATATACCTTACACCCTCACATGATTCTCAAGCATATCTTGTTAATATCCTATTTTGCTGTATTTCTCTTAGCTTAAAAATATAGGCTGCACCTTGTTACTCAGAGCATCAAATTGACTTGAATTGCAAAGGCTACTTGCATGAGTAGTATTCTTATCTCCCCTGTCTATGCCCTTTATTTAACTTCTCTCCACCCTGTTAGAGACTTGTGTCACCTGTCTGTTGAAACTGCCTCATTTACTCTTGCCCCACCCTTCCCCTTCCTGAGCTCTTTTGTACCTACAGTAACTACCAATTTGTTCAGTACTTAATTATTTCATACATAGTTGCTTTTTCTCCTAAAAGATTATAAGTTCTAAGGGCTTAAAAATTTATTTTATGCTTTATACATTCTGTAGTATCTTAGTATAGTGTGGGCTCTTTGATAATCAGTAAGTACTTGGTCATAAGTTGATCATAATTGTAATTATAGCAGAGGCTAAAAGTCTCATGCATGAAATATCTGTGGCAATATGGAATACTTGTGTTTTCACCAACACCTATTCAAGGGACAAATTCTAATTCTAGTAGAGGACAACTACCACTTAAGAACCCTATTTTTTAAAGGGGAACTTCCTTATCACTGTACTTATTGAGTAGTCTTGGGTTAGCTTTTCTAATTTGTAGTTTACGCAAAGCTGCAGATGAGAATTCATGCCTTTAACCATTTGCCTCTTACAGTTTTGTTGGTAAAGTGTACCTGCCTGAAGAGAGCAATTTGTATCAGTGGAAGGGATACTATTATTGCCTCCTTTATGATTCACTTAGGAAGGAACTTGGGAAGACCTAGTATACATATTGCTTAGCAATTTCCATTGTTATTTGTCAGTATGTTGTGAATATATTTTCTAAAACAACTTCCTAGTATGATCCAGGGACAAGTCACAGTGTTGCCACTTTCTGTTGATTTATTTCCAAAGGGAATGATTCAGGGCAACCCCATTTTTAGCTTATGAAGTTTGACCAGAACTGGATGCTAGCAACTAAATTTTGTGGTGGAATCTTCTTTATGTGTTGAAAAAGTAAAGGTTTTGACAGGTATATGTGGGGTGGGAGGGGCTTTCCATACTATGTCAGGAAATTAAAATATGTCAGCTCTTACTGAAATAAATGATGGTAGTACTTAGATTTGGCTAAAGGTCTTCTATTTAGTTGGGTTGATGGGTTATCAATGTTGCATTGCTTTGTAGAGAATTGCCCAGATCAAAACCCCCGTCTCAGGAACTGGGATCCAGGACAAGATCCTGCAAAGCAAGTTGTTATTAAGGAAGGAGATATGTTCCGTCTGACCTCAGATGCCACAGTGAATTCTTTAGTCATTCAGGATGGAGGTAAGTAGCCCAGCCTGTCTTTGGGCCCATATGCTTGCTCTTTTTTTTTTTCTTTAAAGATTTATTTATTCATACAAGAGCTGGGGTACAGGCCAGAGATGTGGGGGGTGAGAGGATTCACCAGAGACAGAGTAGAGAACAGAACAGGCAGGCAGACTGAAATACACAGCTGAGGGGAGCTGTGGGCTAGTCAGGAGCTGTGCGCCATGTGGGTCAGGTCCCTGGCCGGGGATCGAACTCGTGCTGCAGAGTCAGTGGACAGCTTATAGGTTGCTTCTTAACCCCTTGTGACACCACAGAGGTCCCCCATATGCTTGCTTTTTACTCTGGGGAACATTTGATGTTCTTTCTTTAGATAATTTCATATCCTGGAATGTGATGTCATGTCACTGTAACCATGGAGTCATGAAAGCTCCTAAGGTAGAACCATGGAACTGAAGAGCTAAAAGAAACTTAGAAGTCAGTCCAGTCAATACTCTTGATTTATAGAAAAGGAAATAGTTCTGGTGGGTGATGTCTTATAGCTAAATCTGTTACAACTATGGAGAAGATGAGAATTAACATATGTAACAATGAGATTCAGATTTGTAGCCTTTTAGATATTTTTCTAAAAATGATTTACCTCTAAAGTGAATGAATTGAAATTCACAAATGGGCATTTTTAAAATAAAGATTTACTTATTTATGCATATAAAAACTGGGGTGTAGGACAGAGGTGTAGAGGGTGAGAGGATTTACCAGAGACAGAGTGGGGCACAGAATAGGCAGATCTACTGAAATACACTGCTGAGGGGAGCAGTGGGCAAGACAGGGGATGTCTGCTGTGCCATGTGGCTTAGCTCCCTGGCCAGGGATGGAACTCATGTTGCAGTGACTGGCCATAGCTCGATAGTGCTGAGACTTAACCCCTTGTGCCTCCACGGACTCCCCACAAATGGGCATTTTTAATGTGTTGAAATATGAAATCTTCATTTCTTCCTTTTCTCTGTTTTAAAAACCAATTTTCTAAGTGGATGCTTACTACATTTTTTTTGCAACTTAATGGTGGAAGTGTCTTTTTTTCCATGTTAAGGTGAAATCTTGGCTTGGCTCACACTAGTGTTGCTTCCTACAGGACTGCTTGTGTTTGGGGATGATAAGGATGGATTCAGAAATATTACTTTGAGGACTCGTTACATCCTGATCAAGGATGGTGGGGCGCTTCATATTGGAGCAGAAAAATGCCGCTATAAATCCAAAGCGACAATTGCCTTGTATGGCAAATCAGATGAAGGTGAAAATATGCCAATATTTGGCAAAAAATTTATTGGTGTGGAAGCTGGAGGGACACTGGAGATCCACGGGGCACAGAAGGCATCCTGGACATTGCTGGCGAGAACTCTGCATTCCTCAGGCTTGACCTTTGGGTCCTATGTCTTTGAAAAGGACTTTTCCAGGGGTCTTAATGTGAGGGTCATTGATCAAGACACGGCCAAAATTTTGGAAAGTGTGAGGTTTGATACCCATGAATACCACAATGAGAGTAGGCGACTACAGGAATTTCTGAGAGTCCAGGATCCAGGACGCATTGTTGCCATAGCTGTCGGAGATTCAGCAGCCAAAAGCCTTTTACAAGGAACCATACACATGATCCAGGACCGCTTGGGAAGCAAGCTGATCCAAGGCTTGGGTTACAGGTGGGCACAACTATGTACTTTCCTTCTTAGTGAGGCATCAGGGTCCACGTGTGAGAGGAGAAAGGATCCCAGTGAAACACAGCCCAGTACAGATGTCAGTGACCACACAATTTGCAGGTCTGGTTACCTTTTATTAAACATGGTACTGGAAGATGGGATACTGGATACCAAGCTCTTTCCTGGCCTTTGGTTTGTGAAGCCTTTTGTGAACCGTAGCATTGGGCTTGGGGAAATGTTTGAACAGAAATGTGGTACTGAAAAACAATCAGCTTAAGGGCAATTAACCTGTGAATATTCTCTCATTGCCTCTGAAACTCAGGCTAATTGAGGATACTTCTGAGTGGAAAACTTCAGGCCCAATTTTGTATGAAGATTAAAAAATGTTATGTTAAAAGTCTGAGGGAGTAGAACATACACAATTTCCTTTTTCTTACTGGAGTCTTTTGCTGGCCAGTTTGAACCTGCTTGTTTGATGGTGCAAGTCTGTGGACCCCCTGGCATGTGGGAAGGAGGAACTAGATGGAGAGCAAAGAAAGCCATTCATTTCTATTCTTTATGATTCTTGTGCCATATTCTAATCATGATTTCCTCATACAGTCCTGAGCCTGGGGAAGTAGCTGGCTCAACATTTAATTCAAAAAAAACAGAAGTTTGAATTCTGCTTACTGTTTCGGAGTAAACAGTACTCCAAAATTCAGAATATGTCTGCATAAGAAGTGAGAACTTCAAAAATCATGTTCAAATGATCTACTTACTTTTTTCTTTTGATCATTGATTGTTGGGCCATACAGAAATTCTAGAGAAGACACATGAAGAAGGGCCTATAATTTTTTTAACACTTTTTCGCCTAGTGAATATGTCGGCGATGCTAAAAGTGCTCATTACTCTGAGATGCTTAGATAAAAGGACACTGTGTCAGTGCCCCTTTATTGCAGTGGGTAAACTGAGGCCTTAAATGAGGATCATACAAAAAACACTTGCTATAGCTACAGGGTATGATGTCAGGGTAAGTAGAAGGCCCCCAAAATCACCATGGGGATTTGGAGGAAGCTTACCAAAGATGAGAGGACTGAAGGAAGGTTAGGAGTATGCTGTGTAAGCAGCAGAGAAGGAGGGTTTGCCAGACAGATGCAATAACAAGCACAAAACCTCGGAGGTATTTTGTTTTTTATTTTTAAATGTAATCTGCATACAGAAAAGTGCTAAAAATATGAATATTGAGCATTAGGATTTTTCACGATATGAAACCTATGTAACCACCACCCAGGTCAAGAAATGAAACATTGCCAGGCCTCTCTGCCCCCATTTCTATTCATAGGTCACCCTGTCCATTCACCAAAGTTAATCATGTGAACTCCTAAATTTGTGGAGAACACGAAGGTTTAGTCTTGCCTGTTTTTGAACTCATATAAATGGAAGCAGACGATATATTTTGTGTCTGACTTCTTTGCTCACTGCTCTGTGTGATTGAGCCTCGATTATGTCATGCGTAGTGTTAGCTCATTTCACTGCTGTGAAATTTCTGTTTGACTGTATCACAGTGTATTTGCTGTTGGACACCTGGGTGGTTTTCTAGTTTGGATCTGTTATAAAAATACTTATCTGAATATTTTTTACCCATTCCTTGATGACTATTTCTATAATTTATGGAACTAGGAAAGGAAGTATAGTTTTTTCCAAAATTAGACACTTTGTTTCATTAGCCAATATTGTGAGGGAATACATTTTTTCTTTCTTTGTGCAATTATTGTTCTAGATTTGTGTGATCATTTGCTATGCATATTTTGTTTTGAGTTTTTTGGATTCTCTTTCTACTGGTTTCTAAATTCCTTTTAAAATATCACTGCCGATTTGATGGAAGAATTAGAGTTGTTACTCCTTGCCAGCGTTCCATTGCTTTGACATTATCTCCAAAGTACATAAACATACCACTTGAAGATAATGTTTAAAATTTTCCTCAAGTGGAGGAGGGAAGTAGGAGTGTTTTGAAGATAATGTAATAGAATAGAACATTGCTTTAGTGTTGCTGAGGCAGTTCTGGTAAATAAAGGAAGCCTCTGATATTTTTTCCTCTCCTTCCTTCAAATAGGAGATAATAAATTGAGACATTCTTTGTTTGATTTTTTTCCCCCACTATATCAAGGAATATAAATAGAGCTTAAAACATTGTCAGCCAAAGAGAAGCTAATCCACACAGGGGTGGGTGTGGAATTTTTAAGGCTGTAGGAATGCTTTGGTTAACTTTTATCTGTGACTATCCAGCCATCTGTCTGGCATAGATTAAATTTGGTATTTTTTTCCCTAGACTAGGAAACTGACATTTTTCTTTTCATGTTTTGAACTGGGATTCTTAAAGCAAATTTTCTGGCTTTTTTTTTTTTTAATTGATTTTGGCCCCAAGCTTAAGCTTGCAATATATAGTATCACAGAAATAAAATAGAATTTTTAAATACATTGTTTTCAACAAATTAACATGTAGTATATAAACCTTAAACTCTATTGATAGCTTCAATTTAAGCATGTGAAGAAATCAGTAGTAGCCCAAGAATCTCAACCTCACCTGCGCAACTGGAGATTTTGAAAAAGTCTGGACACCAAAGGCCACTCTAGATCATTTACACCAGGATTGCCAAAGGTCCCCCATGTAATTAATATGTGGTAACTACTCTTCTAACCTCTCCCTCTAATTGAGGGTTTCTCAAAGTGTGGTTCACCGCAGCATCAACTTTATCTGAAAACTTGTTAGAAATGCAAATTCTCTGGCTCTACCTCAAACAATTTAAATCTGATTTAACAAGCTATCTACTGATTCTGTTGCCTACTGAAGTTTGCTCTATGAAAGCATACTAGAACTGGGCCTCTGCTTGTCAAGACTATGACTGGGTTGGTCTGGGTCTGAGCAACGATTTATTCCTAAAACTCTCTTTGTAATTCTCTTATGCAACTGGACTTCAGAACATTGCAGAAAGAGTAGCTGAAGAGAGAGCGAGTGATAGTTATTTCTGAGGGAAAAATTTAATAATTTTTTAATTGAAGTAACACTTCATGTTTACATTATATAAGTTTCAGCTGTGTATCAATAAAAATCACCATCTATGTATAAATACATATAAATACATGTATATTGTATTAAATTCACCACTAAAAACATACTCATTTTAAGAGAAGGAAAATAAATGTGTTGTGGCCTGGACATTAGTGAAAAAAATGGTATATATTGAGGAAGTAGATAATTTATGGGAGTCATAGTCATTGGTGTGTCACCTGTTACAGAGCTGAACAAACAAGGATTTGAAATCCAGGTACACTTCCTTTTATGGCATCAGTTACTTTAGTCAAGGTTTCACTTGTAATCTTGTGTAGAAAAGAGGTGTCAGTATTGACAGGGGTGAAATACAAGCATTCAAAGCACTTGTAATAATAATTGTGTTGGGGATTTGGATCGGTACCATAACAAATAATTAAAGGCATGTGATCTTTTCTTTCTAGGCAAGCTTGGGCTTTGGTTGGTGTCATTGATGGTGGAAGTACTTCTTGCAATGAATCTGTGAGAAACTATGAAAATCATAGTAGTGGAGGGAAGGCTCTTGCCCAAAGAGAGTTTTATACTGTGGAGGGTCAGAAGTTCGCTGTGACAGCTTATAGTGAATGGATTGAAGGTAGGCAAATGCCATTTATATTCTATAGGACATAGGTAAGTATTGTGATAGGTATTTTAAAAAGTGGTTCTATATTCAAATGACAATCGGGTTAGTTTTCACAGCTGGTTGAAGATGAAACCTATAGTTTCCCGCCTGGTGAATAGAGAATGATCTGTTCTACTGGGCACCCCCACTGGATTTTGTTCTTGCTACTTGAGTCATATAGAATGATTAACTAGTAGAAGCAGATTTATTTCCTGGAGGTTCTGATTTAACCAATCTAGCTGTGATAGGCTGGGCCCTCTTTGGTTATGCTCTGTGACAATGAGCCTGAGCTTTTACTTGGGATCTTCTTTTTTATGTAGACCTGTAGCAAATATTACTTTTGGGTGCATGCTATTTAAACAAATTTATCCTTTTTTAAAGCAGTTTTTCCCTGATGATCCAGCTAGTACATTTATCTTATGGACATAATGGAAAACATCAAAATGTTCACAGGAGAAATTAACTTTTAATCCTATCATTCTTAGATCATTATTTTGGTACATAATAATCTAGTGTCTTTATCTTATATGTGCCCTGCTGTTCATTTTGTTTTCCTCTCCTTAAACAACATGCTGTAAAATTATCTTACGTCTTTATATTTCTTCATATGAATTTACTGTAATTCATCTTTCAGAAGAATTATACTTTGTTCAAATAATGCTTGGTGCTGTGTATTGAAGGTATATCTGACTTTTTTTCTTTTAAGGATGTTCACTATAGAATTTTTGTTTTTTAACTTCCTCAGTGCCCAGTTTTTTGGGGGTTACAGGTATGAGTTGGCAGCCTCCTGCCTGTGCTTGCCTACCCCCTTTCTTGTCCTGCTGTATATTGTACCAAAATTGATATGAAATTATAATGAAGAGGTACTTTATTCCTTCTACACTTATCTCAAAGGGTTTATTTTAGGCTGGGCCCATACCTGTATTTTGAGTAGTAATATAGCAAGATGTTTACCAAAATGGATTCCTGGAGACACAGTATCTGCACTTATTCACTTGCTATATGATAGTGAGCATGTGACTTCCTGACCCTTATGTGTAAAACAGAAATAATATAAACTACCACAGAAGTTTGGTGGAAGTGTTAAATGTCAAAAATATGAAGTTTGTAGCATAACATCTATTGTGAACAATAACTGTTAGCTCTTTTAGCAGTGATGCAAACATGACTTGATTGATGATGGTGGTTTTTGTGTCATTGTAGTTAACAAGGGGATTGCTTTAAAGCAAACAGCTAGAGTTCTGGTAGGTAACAGGAACTTATGTGTTGCCTCTAAATAATCTTATGGATTTAGGGTGAGGAGCTGGTATCTCCTATGAATGAGGAAGCAGGAATCATCTTCTTTCTATAAGACTACTGCTCTTTCCAAAAGTTATGTTTTTTTCTTGCAAAAAACAGAGGTGAATGAGAAGTATTTCTTGGCAGGAATGTGGATGTATCTGAAGAGGTTAGGGGAATTGTTTTTAAAAATATTCCAGGCAGAGGATAATTACTGACAAATTGAATCAACATGCCCTTTAAGTGAAATTTTGTTTTCAGTTCCACATTATTGATAACTTCTCATTTCTAGAAGAGGGTGCATTCTAGCTTTTTTTTAGGGTCTTGTTTGTGTCCCTTAGTCTCAGTGATACTCATTTTCTGGAAGAGTTGGAAATTATGTCCAAAAAACAGAGAGGATGAACTTTTTTCCTTTTATACTGCCAGTTTAATAGTACTAACAGGGGAGGGCCTCCCCGGTGGCTCAGCAGTTGAGCTCTGGGTTGCAAAGCTGCCCGCAGCCTCTGCAGCACCGGTTTGATCCCCGGCTGCTCCCCGGCCATCGGAGGATCGGAGGAGGATCCCACATGGCGTGCAGACCTCTCCTGCCGCCCGCTGCTCCCCTCAGCAGTGTACTTCGGTCCTTCTGCCTGCTCTGCTCCCCGCTCTGGTTCTGGTGAATTCTCTCACCCTCCTGCGCTTCTGACTGTACCCAGTGCTTGTATGTATGTATCAATCAATCAGTCAATCAATAAATCTTTTAAAAAATATAGTACTAACAGGGGATAACCTTGCACAAGATTTTCTTCTAAAGCCAGAAAAAAGTGAGGAATTATTGATCTGAATTCCCCCTACCCCAACCAGAAACAATACTAAGGATCTTTTAAGTCAAAACTTGTCTAGATGATAAAAAAGATTTTTGGTTGAAATAATCTTTTTTGATCATCCTTTTGAACACTATTAAAATTTTCTATGAAAAATTAATAATTTTTAGTTGCCCTGTTAGAAAATATTTTGGGTAAAAATCTGAGATTTTGGGTAGTGATTGCTGCTATCATGAAATCTCTGTTCTCAACCTACCAGTCTTTATTCTTGGAATGGCAAAATAATAGAGATTAGGAAATTGGGCTCTGGGAATTAGATTAGTATTTAGTTAGGGGTTGTACCATTTTTAAACAATTACTGAAACTCCCTGACCTATGATTTCTTTTTCTTTCATGCATGTAATTGTTCCTACCTCTCAAAATTGTTTTGATGAAAGGTTATATGTATGAAATCCTAACACTGTTAGCTATTGTTATTATTGTTAGAGTTATTAATGTTGTTAATATTTTTTTGACAAATTCTATTATAATCTTTTACTATCTGAATGTAAGAAACATTAAAACACCACTTTATATTTATTAGGTATATTTTTGGATGCTTTGTAGAAACAGGAAAGCTAGACTAGATGGTTGTGGAAAAAACAGGTTAGGTTTTGCCAAAATACTTGACTCAAGACTACGGCTATTGATTTTCTTTCTACCTTAACTGAATTTTTCTCCTTTTGATTGCTTGAATCAAATGTGTTTTTCTTTTGCTCTTATTATCATCCTTTAGAATCATTATCTTAAAGTAACACCAGAGTAGTATGCCAATTAGTTGGAAGGATGATAGAGAGGTACAGATATTTTGTAAACAACTATCATTGAAAGAGGTAGTGTTTTCCCTTCTCAACTGAATTAACTCTCTAGGTAAAGACTATGGTATGAGCAAAAGCAAGGAAATGAAAGATTCTTTAAGGCAAGGTTTTATCCTTAATATTCAGATCATGTGTGTGCACTAACATTCTATTTCTTCTTCTGTGCTTGGATCAATCAAAGCATGGGGTATTTATTATAAATCTGTTCTGTGTTTGGCAGCTTCTACTAGAGTATAAGATGTTCCTTTAGGATTGGCTTGCTAGCAATATTATCATTTTAGCATTGAGTTAAAATACAGTAAGAGATTTGGGGATTGAAAGCCTTCTTCAAAATTATAAAGACGTACTTAACTGAAGTGACACATACCTTTTCATGGTTAGAGATGTATGAAGATGTCTCCTTGAGGGCAGGGGATATACTTTTATCTTTTTGTCATTAGTATCTGCAGAGTGACTGGCACATGGTTAGCATTAGTAAATATTTGCTGGTTTGGTTATTGTAACTTTGGATTTGTGACTCAAGAAGAGAATTGATTTTAGAAAGAAAAAAAATCTTTTAATGCATCATTTTCTTGCTTTTTGGTTTAGGAGTTTCACTTTCAGGTTTTCGAGTAGAAGTGGTAGATGGAGTGAAACTTCACCTGTTGGATGATGTTAGTAGCTGGAAGGCTGGAGACCAGATTGTGGTTGCAAGCACAGACTATTCCATGTACCAAGCGGAGGAGTTTACCCTTCTTCCCTGTCCTGATTGCAGTCGATTCCAGGTCAAAGTCAAAGGTATCAACTGACTCAGTATACTTCTTGGGAATGACTGTTTTCTCAGATGTGATTCTTGGAGTTATTTTTTCTCCCAATCATCCTCCTCCTCTTCCTCTATGCTACCTCCACCGCTAATATTAGCCTTGGTGATCTTAGCAGTGGGGTATGTTGACACTAGCTCCCAGAGGATATTAGATAAAAGCAATAATGTCGGTGTTCATCATGTAAGAAATAAATCAGTGTTTCTGTGTCTGTTTTTTTGGTGTGAAAAAAAAAGATATGGACTAAATGAATTGATTTTTTTTCCCTCCAAGGTTATTCCCAGTTTCTTTCTTATGAATTTTCTATTCCCAAATAATAATCCAACTGTCAGCTGGATCCATTTTTAATAAAAATCTTTCTTTTTAATTAAAAAAATTCCCATGATTTTTGAGGATCTTCTTCCTTGTCAAAAAAGTAGATTTTACTAGTATTTAAAAATGGAACCCAAAAGATATTTTCATAAAACAACATTTCTTTTTTTATTATTTATACAAGAACTGGGGTACAGGCCAGATGCACAAAAGGGTGAGAGGATTCACCAGAGACAGAGTGGGGAACAGAACAGGCAGAATGACGAAATACACTGCTGAGGGGAGCAGCCGGCGAGACAGGAGAGGTCTGCTGCGCCATGTGGGTTTCTCCTTGGCCGGCCGGGATTGAACCTGTGCTGCAGAGGCTGGACAGCTTCACAGTGCGGCACTCAACCACCTATGCCACCAGGGAGGTCCTCATAAAACATTTCTTATCATTATCTTAAATAATATATCTTTTTGAGGAAGAGCAAGATAATTTGAGATTTTTTTTTAAAGATTGATTTATTTATGCATGCAAGAGCTGGGGTACAGGTCAGAGATGCGGGGGTGGGGGGTGAGAGGATTCACCAGAGACAGAGTGGGCAACAGAACAGGCAGACTGACTGAAATACACTGCTGAGGGGTGCAGCAGGTGAGACAGGAGCTGTCTGCTGCGCCATGTGGGTAGCTTCCTGGCCGGCGGGGGATCAAACTCGTGCTGCAGAAGCTGCCGATTGCTTCATAGTGCGGTGCTAACCCATTGTGCTACCACGGAGGCCCAATACTTTGAGATTTTTACTGTAAATTGTGTTTGGAAACAGTTGCTGACATTTACCAGAAGCTGATTCTGAACCTGGTATGGGGCACTGCTTCCTCATAAATAGCCTTAATTATGGGATTCACTAGACATTTCACTCATTATGTTGCTTTCCTTGCTTCTGTAATCAAGATTATACATTTGTGGTAAAAAAAACAAAAGCGTTTATAGTAACTGTTTAATAGACCTTTAAAGTTTAAGGGAAATTTTGGTGCTTTAAAAAAAATAGGATGATTGACTCACTTGGCAGTTTTTCCCTGTGTTCAGTGTTGTACTTTTCTTTCTTGATAATACAGAGTATAAACAGAAAACAGAAAAAAATTCTGATACCATCTGGCATTAATTTTGTTTAGAAATTCCCAGTCTTGTTAACAAGTCTACATGATAATGAATCCCCATAATCTCAACTCTTGATTTATTTGTATTTTTCTTTCCTGAGTTTATATAATAAAAGCATCAGAAGAAAGCTTATTATTAAAGTGCTTCTAAACTTCTATTATAGGTGGGAATTTAAAAGAATACATAATAGTAAGCAGGAAAGAAAAGATGATAATGTTTGCACTGTTAATATCCAAGTACATATTACACTGATTTTAAAGTAGAAGCAAAACAAATAGATACTGTTGTCTCCATCTCCAAAACCATGATTTTTTCTGGATTATCATGCATTTCGTTCTTAATGTGCCCTCAATTGGGGCACAGAACACATTTAGAGGAGACAAGAGGAAAGGAGGGAATGACGAGGGGAGATAATAATTTCATGGGATTTCAGAATAAAGAGGAATTTTTTCTGACATGTTTCATGTTTTCTTTGTTTTAATATTCTTTTCCCTTGCCCACATCAACCAGAAACTCCTCAGTTCTTGCACATGGGTGAGATCATTGATGGTGTCGACATGAGAGCTGAAGTTGGAATTCTCACCAGAAATGTTCTGATCCGAGGAGAAATGGAAGATTCATGCTATGCTGAAAACCAGTGCCAATTCTTTGATTATGATACCTTTGGGGGACATGTCATGGTAGGCAAAAGCTCTGCTGATTTCTTGAAAGCTTGGTTCTAAATACATGTTTAGAAAAACATTCATGTTTTGGAATGAGATCAATATGAATATTAAAAAGAAATCATTTCATTTCTCTATCAAATGATAATGGGGAGATTTTAAATATCTTCATTTTGTTGATTTGGCCACTTAGATATTGTTTCATGAAGAATTAAATCAATACATAGGAAACAGCCAATAGAGGCAAAAAAAAATAACCTTATCATTCCAGGCATGTGATCTCTGAAAAATTCAGTTGGTCCTTTTTAACATATGATATTATGAAAGGGTAAGCAGTGCTAATATGCACTTACAAAATATATTAATGTAAAAATATTTTTTGTATGCATATTGTTAGTCTGTAAAGTACTGAGCACTTACAGTGTGGTAGGCATTGTTCTAAGTGCTAATCTATTGAACTTCTGGGCTGCATTTTGGTTAAATGTGTTTTAAAGTCATTTTTTTGTGCAGTGGGTAGGCTGATTGTTAGCAACAATTTTGTCACAGTGATTTCTAAAATGTTGGTCAGTGTTACCCCTTTGTTTTTAGCAGTATAATTGAAAATCCAACATTTGAAAATATTGAGAGTATTCAAATTGTGGATTATAGAGGAATTTTTAAAAAATCTAAAATAAACAAGAAATTTTTTAAAAACTTAAAATAAACAACATTTTATGCTAACTAAAACATTGAGAATGGATTTTAGAAAAAACTGCTATTCAGTGGAGTTCTACAGTGGAGTTTTTAGAAATGGAAGAATGAGGCGATGGGCAGAATATTTGAACAAATCAAAAACACACATGCAAAATTTTTTATGCAGATTTCCCTATTATGTTTTCTTTTATTCCTAATAAGTGACTATTTCCCCCCAGTTTTATTGAAAAATATTGACATGCATCACTGTATAAGTTTAAGGCATGCAGCATGATGGTTTGTGTTACATATATTTGATTACATATATTGGTTTGATTGCCACAGTAGGTTCAACTAACATCCATCATTTTGTATAGATATAGTAAAAAGAGAAAATATTTTTCTCCAGGTAATTAGAACTCTTAGGATTTACTCTCTTAACGCCTTTCCTGTCTATCATAAAGTAGTGTTAGCTATAGACATTATGCACATTATATCCCTAGTACTGATTTTTATATTATATGATGTTGTATAATATTATACCAGTATCCATAAGTATTATACCATATAATATTATACCAGTATCCATTTGACCACCTTCTTCTAATTCCCCCTTTACACAAACTCTGTCTGTGGTAACCACAAGTCTAATCTCTCTTCTGTTTTAAATTCCACATGTGAGATTATATAGTGTTTGTCTTCCTCTGTTTGACTTATTTCACTTAGCATAATGTCTTGAAGGTTCTCTGTTTGACTTATTTCACTTAGCATAATGACTTGAAGGTTCTTCAACATTGTCACAAATGGTAGGATTTCCTCATTTCTTTTGGCTGTATAATATAATATTGTGTAGTCTATAGAATGTGTGTGTGTGTACACATGAATGCACATACACTCACAGATCTAAACCACATATACTACAACTTCTTTATCCATTCATCCATTAGTGTTCACTTTGATTGCTTTCCTTTCTTGGGGAATATTGTAAATATTGATGCTGTGACCACAGGGATGCCAGTATCCTTTAAACTAGTGTTTTCCTTTGGATCCCAAAAGTGGAATTGACAAACTATAAGATAGTTCTTAATTTTTTGAAGATCCTCTACACTATTTTCCACGGTGACTATTTAAGAGACTGTTTGTATAGCTTTCTAAGTTATTCACCATTGTAAAGAAATATTTACTAATTTCCTAACTAGAGATCTGGGAAAATTACAACCCACAAGAAAACATGCTTTGATATATATTTTCCTGCAGGCCTTTTCCAGTAGGCTGTGTTTCTATTCTGAAATGTGTCAGTTTAATATCAGTTATCTTTCCTTATAGATAAATAAAAATTTTACCTCCGTCCATCTTTCTTATGTGGAATTAAAACATATGGGTCAGCAGCACTTGGGGCGCTATCCTGTTCATTTTCACCTGTGTGGAGACGTGGATTATAAAGGAGGGTACAGGCCTTCAACTTTTGTGGACGGCTTGTCCATTCATCACAGTTTCTCCAGGTGCATCACTGTGCATGGGACAAACGGCCTGCTGGTGAGTCACCTCCCATTGTGTTGATGCACATTCTTAATTCTCATGACTCCTCAACTTTATATAATTAAGCTGTTGCACCACTTACTGTATCCAGCTTTTCTGAGCATTCTGCTGTTTTGCTGAGTGGAGGAAGCCCCTTCATTTAACTACCCAAATTATTCTCTGAAGGAACCAATAAATTCTGACATTTGACTTTGCCCCTTCAGCTAAGATTCAGGCTTCTTTTTGCATTTGTACTGAACATGCTACACTGAATAGCACTTGTTACTTAAACCACAGTCAATCTTGCTACCAGTGACATTATACACTTGTATTTCTGCAGATAAAAGACACCATTGGATTTGACACACTAGGTCATTGTTTCTTTTTGGAGGATGGCATTGAACAGAGAAATACTCTGTTTCACAATCTGGGACTCCTCACCAAACCAGGCACCCTCCTCCCCACTGACAGGAATAACTCCATGTGTATTGCCATGCGAGAAAAAGTGTTTGAAAATTACATTCCTGTGCCATCCACGGATTGTATGTGAGTAATTGTATGTGAGAAAAACACGTGTGTGTTGGTCAAGGCCTTTGACTTTTGAGGGAGATGCTTTGGGGGAAGTTTTTAGTGGGCAGGATTTTTCATGAAGAAGGCTTTAAAATCACCTTAAAATAATGTATTGCAGGGCTGTTTCAACTTTCTGGATTGCTCATCCAAACAATAATCTGATTAATAATGCAGCCGCAGGCTCACAGGTAAATCATATTAAATTGCTTTCAGTTTGTATTTAATTATTTGTTTGTTTATCCATGTTTATAAATATTCTGGTCTCTATGGATTTCATCTAATGTGTGGTGATCTCACCCTGGTATGGCATAATTTTCTAGTTCTGTTTGCTTAGTTGTGAGCAGAATGTATTTGAGCTATTTCTTCTATTTCTAGTCTTTTATTAAATACAGGGATTATACACATCTATGGGAATTTCATCGCATTGGTAAAGCAACTAAGCTCAACTGTGTGTCTTAAATGAGCTATGTGCCTTGAATTGTTTAGCAAACATAAGAATAGCTTAAGAGTATAAATGAACTAACTGTATTGGAAACATTAAATTTTCCCCCGATAAGCTTGGAGAGTATGATTTAAAACTGTTAATTTGTAATCTAAAAATGAAATCTTTAAGACATTATACTATTATATTTATACCTGTTCTGAACGTTATAGTACAGAAATATTAGCTTTGCAATAAAACCTAAATATTCATGTCTATGCATCATGGTTATTAAAATATTTAAAAGGAAAGATACTTAACATTGTTTCCCAGGAAGAAGTGAAAGATTAGAAGAGAGTATTTCTTTGCGAGGACCAAAATATGGATATCACTCCCTGGATAAATATGGAATTCCTGTTCTTAATTTTCCTAAGGAACATAAAACAAATTTTTTATTCGCCAGAGCAGAGATTGTATATTTCATTATTTCACATTTCCATTATTCATTTTTCTTATGTGAGAAAAGAAAGCAGACCTGTATTTTAATAGATGTACATTCTTCTGTTTCATTCTTTGGGTTACTTTCTGTCAAAAAAAAAAAAAACAACAAAAATCCTATTCCAGTAGAGCTCCTGTTTTGGAAAGGGCTTTTCTCCCAAAGTAAATCAGATCCTTTATTCTTGTACATTTCCACTGCCTTTAACAAAGCTCCTTTTACCTGTTTTGACACCACAATGTTTAACGGGAAACAGCTGCTACCCTCCTCATCTTCCCCTCCTCCATCTCTCATCCCCAAACTCCATTGCTTCCTGGGGGTGGCGAGTTTGCTGTGCCCTCAGCTCACAGGGCTGTGTTCTGGAGCCTCTTGACAATCCCCCAAGTGTTCTTCTGTTGTCTGTGTGCAAAAGAGTTCAGGTGGGAAACATATTTTTCAGAATAGTTTATTTTATTAAGACCTTTTTGTAAACTCTTATCATGGAAAGATAAAAACAACATTCATTTTGGTGGGTAGGTATATGTGCTTTCCACAATTCATCTCTTCTCTGTGTTCCCAAAGACTTTGGTAAAACTAACATACTTATTATATATATGCTATCTTAATTTTTTCAGTATTTCTCATTACACTATAATCCTTTGAGAAGTCTTACTATCCTTGACCCATAGTGGGCATGAAATGAACATACTTATTATGTATATGCTATCTTAGTTTTCTCAGTATTTCTCATTAGACTATAATCTTTTGAGTAGAGTCTGACTATTCCTGACACATTGTGGGCATGAAATATATATTCACCAAATTTGAACCAATACCATTCTTTTGGACTGTATGTTTAAGTTTTAACAATCCGCTGAATCCAAGTTCCATAATATGAAGTTGTCTGTTCTATCAGGCTGGATTTTAATTGAATTTTAAGATAAAAAATTGTTACAGGGATTAAGAGCATCAAATTTTGATTTTTATGTCTTGTTTGGAGTATCAGAAATTTTAAAACTATTTTTACTTCTTCTGGTAAGGTCAGTAATATTAAAATTGAACAGACAGGATCCAGACTGAGACAGCATCCCAATTCATGCGTGTGGTGGTTTTTTTTCTTTGGCAAAATTTTGCCTGGGGACAGGAAGCACATTGGAGTTGTTTGAAAGAAGTTAGTGAGCTCTGCATGTTGGTGGATAGTTCTTTAATGGGTATGATTCATCTATTGATCAGGTTTGGAAGTAAACAGAACAAAAAAAGCATTTTGCTAAAAGGCTGTGCTGTCTTGGTCACATGGAGGGAAGCAGGGGAGGCTTCTTAAGTTCTAATTCTGCATAACTTTTTAACATAGATAATGATGGGAAAGTTATTTTTTTAAATAATTGGTATTAGCCAATTACTTCTACCTTTTACCCAATCCTACAAAATTAAATTTGCTTTTTTTGAAGAGTGGTATAACTATTCTAAGTTGATATGGCTACTTTTTAGAGTTATTTCTAAACCTGAAACAATGTAAATTATTGTTAAAAAAATAAACTTACTTGTGAATATATGAGGGTATTTTATAGAGGCACTTGATAAAATGGGCTTTTAATGATCTGTCCTTTCAATTATAGGATGCTGGGATTTGGTATTTATTTCACAAGGAACCTACTGGGGAATCCAGTGGATTGCAGCTCTCAGCAAAACCCGAACTTACTCCTTTGGGTATATTTTATAACAACAGGGTCCATTCAAGTTTTAAGGTAGGTTCCTAAGTGTTGATAATGAGTACATATAATTTATAAGATAAAGGGTGGATTGCTATGATTATAACTGAGAAATGTCAGTTTTGAGTACCAGTTGTCATGAGAGAAAGTATTTTTAATTAACAAAGCAACATTTAACCTACCATGTACAGGATGTATGTACAGCTTTCCATTTATATGCAACACAGGGTACATTTCAACAAATTCATGCACATGCAGTATGAATAATTGTGATAATGGACTTGACCTTTGAGTCCTTATCCTCTCCCTTGTTCTTCTCCTTCTCCTTCTCTTTCCCCTATTTTCCAATCATTAACATCATTGCATGTTCAAGGATATATACTTTAGATAATATGCTTCTGGGGATTGAGGAGCACAGCTTTCCCTCACCCCCCTCAGGTCACAGTGTTGTAAGGTACCCTCTTGTGCTTTTGATACTGACTATGTGAATAGTGAAATATTGTTTAAGAATATTTGATTTAATTTAAATGGTATAGGTCAAGTAAACTAAAGGCCATTTAGGACCTCTAATTATCATGCTATTTGGCATTATATTTGATAAGTACATTTGGTACATTTTGGGCTCAAAGGCTTTTTTTTAATCCTTTCATTATATGATATAGTGCCCAGATTTTTACTCTGATGGAATCCACATCAAAGTTCTATTTATCTAAAAGGTCATGGAGGGACTCCCCCGTGGCACAAGGGTTAAGTCTCAGCACTGTGAAGCTGTCAGCAGCCAATGCAGCACGAGTTCAATCCCTGGCCTGGGAGCTAACACATGACTCATCAGACCTCTCCTGTCTCGCCCACTGCTCCCTGCAGCAGTGTATTTCAGTCAGTCTGCCTGTTCTGTTCCCCACTCTGTCTCTGGTGAATCCTCTCACACATACACCCCACCCCCACTGCGCACCTCTGGCCTATACCGCAGTTCTTGTATGCACAAATAAATAAAATAAATCTTTTTTTTTTTAAAGAAGATTTGAGAGAGGAAAACACTGCACACAGCATGATTGTGAGCTGAATAGTTAAAGCTAGTAATTATTGAAAGTAGCATTTCAAGATGAAAACTTCTAATTTTCTCACCATAAGTGGTATAAAAACACTTTGTTCTAATTAATTTTTTAATGTCATCTACCATGAAGACATGTTAAAAATATTATAAGAATTCTTTTAAGAATATTAGGTCTAAATAATGAGTAGAAGATCTGATTTTAACCCTTTGCACTCCGCTGTCCCCTCTCAGGGGACATCGGAATTCTAGCATATCACTTGGATGTCCCCTCTCAGGGGACATTGCAATTTATTAGTGATTACGGGGAATTGAGGTTATTTCAATGCAACTTTTTGAGACATGCATGTTTCCCTGAAGTTTTATCTTGAAATGGCACAAGAAATTAAATCAAAATATCGTAAAATGGTTCAGAGTGCAAAGGGTTAATTTGTTAAATTTGGGCCTGATTATCCAAAAAGATACTGTAGACTAAAGAAACAGAACCTTTGGAGTCCTCAGAGTGTCTTAAATACAAAAATACTGCTCGTTGTGGCTTCACTTGCTCATATGTCCCAAGCGGCCATGTGGTTCATGTCAGTCACATTTGTCTGACTGCTTACAAAGTACTATTTGTGTGTCACAGTTTTGAACACATACATAAAATATATTCAAACCGAAAATTCTTTTTTATACCCAAACTCATTCCCATATCTGTTTCAGCAAGTGAAACAACTAGCCATAATTGCCCAAACTATAAATATATGAATCTTTGTTGCTCCCTTTCCTCAGAGGCCATTGACCTAAATGTTATCAGTTCTTCCTAGTACAGGAATTAACCACTCTCTTGATTTTCCCGTTACTGCCGCTACACATCTACTCATTTTTATTTCTCTTCTGGATTACTGCAGTAGTCTCTTCCCTTATCTCTTGGCCCCTCCTTTTTTTTTTCTTTTGTCCTTTCCAATGCATTATTTATCTTTTAGCTAGAATATTCTTTCTTACAATGCAGCTGATTATGTTGCCTTTATTTAAATTCCCATCTTCTTGTCTCTTTAGCAAATTAATTCTGGGGCCTCCCTGGTGGCGCAGTGGTTTGAGCGCAACACTGTAAAGCTGTCTGCAGCCTCTGCAGCACTGGTTCTATTCCTGGCCTGCCAGGGAGAGACCCACATGGCGCAGCAGACCTCTCCTGTCTCACCCGCTGCTCCCCTCAGCAGTGTTTTTGGTCCTTCTCCGTGTTCTGCTCCCTGCTCTGTCTCTGATGAATTCTCTCACCCTCCCGTGCCTCTGGCCTCTACCCCAGTGCTTGTATAAATAAATAAATCTTTAAAAAAAAAATGAATTATGGTATTTGCTTCTCTTTAGCCTTCTTTCTTACCTTTACTTCCTCCATTCAGTAGTCCATTGAAGATTTTTTGTCCTTCACTGTGCTATCCTCTCTTATTAGGCTTTTTGTTGAAATCATTCTCTTGAGTACTTCCCCTGGGTTCTTTAGCCACTTCCCATCCACCTCCTGCCTTTTGTCCCCAACGAGTTCTTTTGCATGGTTGATCCCTTGTTCCTCACCCTTCACTTAAGGTTTACCTTCAGGAGGTCACTTCTTTTGGGAGGATCTATTCACTCCCACCTTTGTGAAAGACCTCATCTTGGTGCCTTTTTAATGGGCTGCCAAAGTACCATGTACTTTCTTTAGCATATGTTTCATTTGGGAATGCAGTTATTTAATTGCATGTCTTCTTTTTTTGCCTGCCACAAAGTTGGCACTAAATAAATATTTGTTGAAGCAATGAATAAACTTAGAAAAATATTCAGGAAGTAACACTTCCATAATACCTATGCCTTGCTGTTTACTCTCTCCCCCTCTTTTTTGGTAGAAGTGATAGGAGAAAACATTATTATATATGTAGCTATAAGTAGGAATTCATATTCATATCAGTTCATTATTATGTTTTCCAGGCTGGGTTATTTATTGACAAAGGTGTAAAAACAAGCAACGCCAGTGCTGCTGACCCAAGGGAATACCTCTGTTTGGATAACAGCGCAAGGTAGAGCTGGTCCTTTTAAACCACACTCAAGCCATGTCTTGCCAAAGCAAAACTTTCCAAGTTGATCCATTGTGCTGTTTTCTTCGGTGACACATTTATACTGAATTTTTCAGTTTGTGGGAGGATTTTGAAAAAACATTTATTCTGCTGTTTTAGGTCTGATGACTGAACTTTTTACCCTTCTGAGATGCCAGAGAAGCTTCTGCTTTCTCCCTTTCTCATAGGTGTAAATTGATGTTACAGTAGTGGAAAGAGAAAGAAGTGAGATAAGTTGAAAAGGTTTCAAATTTGGCCTAAGCTAGAATATGAGTCATTGAAAGAGAAGTTAAGCTAAGTTGTTTTAGTGTAATCACTGAAAATCAAAGCATATAGAATTTATTGTTAGTGGTAAAAATAGAACATTGCAGTAAATCTAATTCAAAGGGAAAAGTCTTAAACTAGATCACATTGGTTCTGGTTCACTTGTTTGTAGCCTCAGATTCACATCAAAGCCAGGCTCTATGTTACTCTCCTTTATAAGCCATAAAATGTGGTTGGGATATGGATCAGCATTTCAGCAAAGTTCTCTTACATGCTGTGTAGGCCAAAATAAATGAAATGTCTCCAATAGAAATAAAAATTTCTGCAAAAGATAGCAACTTAAAGTCATATTCCGTAGAAACCATGTACATGTTATTTTTCCATAATTCAAGTGGATTGGCCAGTTTATGGAGTTAGAAGGGTGCAAGATTTAATAGACTCTGTTGGTATACATTATAAAGTAAGAGCCACATTATAGATCAGTGAGTTAAATTAGGTATGAGGCAGAATCTTTGTTATGTGGTAATAAGTCATGAAGTCAGGGATAATGTGGAAAATAGAGTCGGTAAAATTACTCTCCAGGACTTTTTAAAGGTCAAATAGAGCCTGAAATATATATATTATTTGTTTATGCATACAAGAACTGGGGTACAGGCCAGAGGTGCAGTGGTGAGAGGATTCACCAGAGACAGAGGGAGGAGCAGAACAGGCGGATCTACTGAAATACACTGCTCAGGGGAGAAGCAGGCAAGACAGGAGAGGTCTGCTGTGCCGTGTGGGTTAGCTCCCCGGCTGGGGATCGAACTCAAGAAACAGTGGCTGGCCTCTTCCGGGGACGGTGTCTGGAGGCCTTCAGGATGGTCCAGCGTTTGACCTACCGCCGTAGGCTCTCCTACAATACAGCCTCGAACAAAACTAGGCTGTCCCGCACGCCCGGCAATAGAATTGTTTACCTTTATACCAAGAAGGTTGGGAAAGCACCAAAATCTGCATGCAGTGTGTGCCCAGGCCGTCTTCGAGGGGTTCGTGCTGTGAGACCTAAAGTCCTTATGAGACTGTCTAAAACGAAAAAACACGTCAGCCGGGCCTATGGTGGCTCCATGTGTGCTAAATGTGTCCGGGACAGGATCAAGCGGGCTTTTCTTATTGAGGAGCAGAAAATCGTTGTGAAAGTGTTGAAGGCTCAAGCACAGAGTCAGAAAGCTAAATAAAAATGAAGCTTTTTTGAATAATAAAAAAAAAAAAAAAAAAAAAGAAACAGTGGCTGGTGATAACTTGATAGCACTGAGACTTTAATCCCTGGGCCACCAGGGAGGCCCTGAGCCTAAAGTATTTTAAAGCAAAGATATGATAGCATTTGCCATGCCTCAGAACTGTGAGCAGGCTGGCTGGCTTTATTTATTTATAATAACAAATATTTACTAGAAAGTCACTGCTGCCTTTTAGTCTTAAAGAGTTTATTGTAACTGTGAGAACTAGTAATGCATACTTAGTTCAATTAGTGATAACAGGAAAACCCTTACACTCTCCACAGTAGATATTTTTCCCTGCCTTAAAAAATTGTGTGTGGGAATAGATGGATAGGTATATATATTTCAAAATCCATTGATGTTTTAATAGACTTGACAACCAAACAGTATCCATAATGGATTAAAAAGTTCTTTACCTGGTGTATGCATGTGCTACTCTGATAGTGGTGGTTTTCCAATATTTACTACTCTTACCAGTTGATAAACACATACATATTATTAGTAAGGAATTGGACTACATTTGGAAGTTGTTACTAAAAAGAATTGATTGTAGGAGGAGAAGACCAACACATGGCAGCTGGTGTGTATATTTAATTTTGTATAAGCTAATAGACTATCCCCATGGACATTCATGCTGTCCAAATATGCATAAAAATGATGAAACTAGTACAGATGAGTAGTAAGTCATTTCATGAATTAAACATCAAAATCCTGAGATTCCCAAGATATGTAGTCTTTTCATCAAAGGGAAGTTGACTCAACACTTAATCAGATGAGCCTTTCCTTGTATGTTCAAGATGTGAAATTATCATTAATCAAAATTGGGAAACTTAACTCCAGAAAGTTCTCAGTTTGCAATTGGGAACTTTTATCTAAGAGTGAAAGAATATGAGAGCCAACTAGTACATTGAAGGAAGAAGGCAGTTAAGAGAGGGTTTGGAAGTGTGCAGAGATCTTACAAATGAGAAAATTTGGGGAAATTAGCTGTAATTTTTACATATGGAGTGGGAAAGGGAATGAAAATACAGGATAACCTTGCAAGTGGTCAGTGATTAATTTATCCAGAGAGGAATTTCAGAAGAGATAACTACAGCAGAGAATGTTACCTAAAAAAAAAAAATTTTTTTTGGCCTTCTTTTAGAACGTTATGTAGTTTCCTTTCCAGAATTTTTCCATCTGCTTGGTGTTATGTAATGACCGCAAAGCTATCTGCCAGAAGAGTGGGTGAGGTTTCAAAGTCAGACTTTATACCCCTTAGGTGAGAGCTATCTGGTGTGAGGGGAACAGGGTCATATACACAATCTAAGAGTGGTTATAACTCTTTCATCTCCAATGCTGTTGCCCAGTTTTATACTGCCAACAGCTGTTTGAAACAGAAAAATCCTTCAAACTGGTCTCCTTACAGTCCATTCTCTATTATCCTTTCACCAGTAGCAGTTACTGACATTTTAAAAAAGTAGCCAGTTACGTCACTTCCCTGATTCTATGTTTTCAGTGACTTCCCATCACATGTTATGTATATGTGAGTGTGTGTGTATATGTATCTGTCTGTCCATCCATCCATCCACCCACTTTATTGAAGTCTGACATATAAAAAGCTGTATGTATTTAATGTGTGTAACTTGATGTATGTGGAGATAAGTACATACCAATGAAACCATCACCACCTTCAATAATAGATTTATGTATTATATTCCTCCCATTCTCTTTATTATTATTTTTAAAAAATAAAGTTTTTTTTTGTAGTAGGAATACTTACCTACCTTCTTAGCAAATTTGAAGCATACACTATTATACTGCTAGCTATAGACACTATCCAGTATAGTGCAATTCTAGAACTTACCTGGAATATTTTACGCTTTACTCATCGCCTTCCCATGTCCCCAACCCCCGAGTCCCTGGTAACCACTATTGTACTTTCTGCATTTAGAATCGAGAACCATGTTCTTGCCTGGTACTTATTCACCCTCTTACTACTGTCCCCCTTGCTTTTAACTCTCAGCCAACTTGCTTGTTCTTTTAACAGACTTAGCTCACCCATGCCTGAGGACCTTTGCATTTGCTGTTCTCTGTGCTTACCGTCCACTCCCATCCATATTTTGCAAGCATCTACTGTGTTCCTGCAACTATGGCAGTAGCATTTGTGGAAATGGTTTTTCCTGATTGTGTGAATAAAAATCTTAACATGCTGAATGGGTTTTGAAGTTGTCTGACTTCCCACCATCAGTTTTTATGAGATTATGATAGAAATGATCTCTTTTTAAAAATAAGTAGCTTTGGCCTCCCTGGTGGTGCAAGCAAGGGGTTAAGCACTGCACTGTGAAGCAATCTGCAGCACTAGTTCGATCCCCGGCCAGCCAGGGAGCAACCCACATGGCCAGGCAAACTGCTCCTGTCTCGCCTGCTGTTCCTCTCAGCAGTGTATTTCCGTCAATCCGCCTGTTCTGTTCCCCATTTCTGTGGTGAATCCTCTCACCCCCTGCATCTCTGACCTGTACCCCAGTTCTTGTATGCATAACTAAATACATCTTTTCAAAAAATAAGTAGCTTGTTGAATTATTTGAGTTGTTAGACAGTTTTTGATACCGATTATTATTATGGACCTTTGTAAGTATTTTAGAAAGAAGAGAAAGAAAAGATAAAATTCAGTCTTTGTAATTACTAAGTTAATGAAATACAATCTATTTTGAATTTAGACACAAAAGATATTTTACATAGTTTTATTTCTGTAACATTTCACTGGCATACAATTCAAATAATACTCTAGTTCACATATGTTGAAAATATGATAAATTCATTCAAGAAGTTTATATTGGTATCCTGTTGGTTAAGAATTTGTGAGAACCATGCCAGATTTATAGTCTGAATTTTTTGTTTTGGAAATGGTTTTCAGGCTTAGAATGTTCTGCAGTGTCTATTTTATAATATAAATTAATTTAAAAAATAACTAAGAATATATGAGAACATTTTTTGGGAAACTTGTATGTAAATAAATGTGAGTTTTTTTCTTTTAATATTTGTAATTCAACAAATCAATTCGGGTCTTAAATATTTTGATTTTGGTCGAGTGTAAATTCTGTTTGCTGACACATAAGCTTATAATTGTTAATAGATAATTTCCATTGCCTTTTTATTACTTAAAAAAAAATTCTTGTTTTTTTACTTTTCCTTGACTTCAAGGTTTCGACCCCATCAGGATGCAGACCCTGAAAAGCCACGTGTTGCTGCTTTAATTGACAGGCTCATTGCTTTCAAAAATAATGACAATGGAGCTTGGGTCAGAGGAGGGGATGTCATTGTTCAGAATTCAGCGTGGGTATTCTCCACAAAATTATTATCTCATGGCATTGTGATGTAGTTATCTTTGAAGACTATTTTTAAAACTGAAAGTAGAGTGGTGGTTTCTGGAATCAAGTTATTATTACAAATAGAGCAACCTCTGGGGAAGCGTGTTAGAGGTCATAGACTGCAAATGTTTGCAATTGTCTCATTCCGCTGCTTTTGTTGGAAAGCTGAACTTGTCCAGTGACAGAATATTTTGATGCGGGTGAAGAGAAACTGGGAATTTAATTTCATATAATAAACATGATTTAGGTCAGAGAAATTAAAAAGATTTTGGAACTACCTGGATTTTTTCCCCTTTCTCTTGGAAACTCTTTAAAGTTTTCCTGATGTTCTTGTGCCATTCAAAACACAAGTTGTGAACTCCACCTTCATAAGTCTGTTGACTGAGGTCTTAATATGACTTGAGGCAGTCAGCATCTCCCTTTTCTCCATTTGTGTCATGTTAGGAGAAATGTGGTATGTGTTGAACTAAGATTTGGTGTGCAACTGTAGAAAAACATTTTCCTTGCATGAACATTAGTTTCTTGGCATTTCCCCATCATCTCTGACATTTATCATGCAAAAACACTGATAGTGTATTAAACTTGTAGCAATCACTTGGATATTAATGTTGAAAAATTTTGAAGAGAATCCCATTTCTAATTGTTTTTTAAAATAATTACAAAAAAATACAGCTAACATATGCTACTTACTGTGTGGCAAGCACTGTTCCAAATGATTTATAATAATTTGTATGTTAAATGCTCTCATCCTAAGAGGTAGGTTATATTATTACTTCAACTTATAGATGAGCAAACAGAGAAGTTGAGTCATTTTCACAAGGTCACATGGCAAAACTGATTTGAAAGCTTGTCCACTTCCCTGTGGAGTCTGTGCTTTTAGTTATTTTGAGGAGAAACTTTTTTTGTAGTTTTAGATGATTACTATTAGAATGATTATTATTGGAAACTTCTAGATTTCATGATAATTAAATATTGAGAGAATTATGTCATTTTACCTGATGTGGTAAATTGGAATTTTCCCTCCTATTTTCTTTTCTTACAGATTTTCAGATAATGGAATAGGATTGACCTTTGCCAGGTTAGTAATTGCTTATAAATACTTACCTGATTATTTTCAAGCTGTAAGGTAAAATAAGCCTTCATTTTATTTCTTTTTTTGGTAATAGACAAGAATGTTTTATCCTTTATTAGTATCAAAGAGAAAAATTAGCATCTACTTCCTGATGCCACTAGAGGTCTGAATTATGGATTAATTGAATTAATACCAACTTCATTGGTTATTGTTGCAATTCCACAAAAGGGTAGGTGCATATATTTTGCTTAGAAGAAAACACTTGAGCTTTACACTAAAGTTCTTAAAACTTAAGAGAAATAAGAGGAAGGGACTTCAACTTGAGAGCAGAATAACTGTTTTCTTAGAAGCAGCTCTAATTTTGCAATGATCTTTAAGAATTGAATTTTTTATGTTATGTATTTTGCTCCAAATAGTTATTCTAGTATCTAAAACATGTTTGTCATCAAATTGTTGTATCCTAGGCAGGTTTCTTCTCCCCATTTGCATATTGCTGCTTACAACAATGATGAAATAATCAGTTGTTGCTATTAAATTTCTTTATGTTTAATATGAAAACCATATATTCATTTATGAGGATAGGTTCACAATTTAAAAGCACTTTTTGAATGCTTGACAATATGTATTATAAAAAGCTTGTATCTGCTCTGAAACTTTTAGCTTTTAAAGTTACAGCTTGCCTTTATTTGAAGGTTGATTTAAATTTCCAGAGATGTGCGGTTGATTATTATTTGCATTTTATCAGTGATGGAAGCTTCCCCAGTGATGAAGGGTCCAGCCAAGAGGTCTCTGAATCCCTTTTTGTTGGGGAGAGCGGAAATTATGGCTTTCAGGGTGGCCAGAACAAGTATGTAGGCATTGGAGGAATAGACCTGAAGCCTCGGACATTACCTAGGAACAGGTAAGCATTGCTGTAGTAGTAGAATGTTAAGCAATAAATGAAAACCTAACCATTATGGAGGTTTCTGTAATAATCTTGGAATTATATGGATTAGTGGCAGCAAATTGTTCATCATCATCATTCTCATTATTGACTAATTTTTGCCATGGATTGGTCCCCACTCTGCTATTGTTACTATTAATATTGCCAATTTTCTAAGAAAGGAAACCTACCTTGTTTCTTAGGATTTTGTATAAGGTCTTTTATAAACTAGTGATTTTTGTCTTTCATTTTTGAGCCACATGAAATTGGCAAACCATAAGTGATGACATTAGGCCCTTTTCCCTCAATTTCATAAATAGCCACTGGAAAAGGAAATGACTTATTAAAAGGAATCCTAAGAAAGGAGAGTCTCAGCATGCCCAGGCTGACCTGGCCCTGACCACAGCTGTATAGCAAGGGTGTTTCTGATGCTGCAGCGGGTTGGGACTGGCTTTTGGCTTGTTTTTCTGTCATCAAAAATCACAGAATCATTAAAATAGCACTTAGCACTGGAAAAATTCTTCAGTGCTTTTAGGGAACTATTAAATCATCCAGAACTCAGTTCTGACGCGCAGTTTGGAGTTGTCCTCATTTTACTTGTGAGAAAACTAGATGGAGAAACAATAGTGTTCTAAAGGCCTTCCGCCAGAGCTAATGTCTGAACTCTTTAAGCACCAGCTCCCTTAAAGCAGACAACTACACTGCATGCACATTGGGCTAGGACAGATCAGGACATTGGGGCAAATGCACTGTTAATTTGGAGGGACTTGAGCTGCGGGTTGGGGAGAGGACTTTGCTAGCTTCTGGTCAAGGGTACTATGCTAGGCTCCTCTCCTCTGTACTGGGGGTTGGGAAATCTTGAGCATCGTTATGTGCCTAGCCCTGTGTTTGACTCCTGTTGGTCAGACCATGGCACCATTCGGAAAGAAACTGTGTGGGTTTTTAATAGCTAACACTTATTAAAAGCTGATAATGTATCAGACTCTGTTCTAAATACTTTATTATTTGCCCAGTCTCTGCAAAACCCAAGGAGGATTTTTTTTCCTTGTCCTTTTCCAATTTTATAAATGAGTAACTTATTTAAAGTAGTTGACTTGGGATTCAACCCCTGTTAGTTTGGCTTCAGCGCTGTGCTTATCACCATTAGGCTATTGCTGCCTCTTCTAATGTGGAGATTTTTGTAAAAGCCTAGATTGGGTTGGGGCTTGGGCTGCAGTATGATGGTAGCCAAGTCAAGTCCATTCTTGCTACTTTTTATTGGCCTCCTGTTTAATTACAAAATGCTTATTGCTTCTTTACTAAGAGGAATTTTTCAAAAACAAAGATTTCTCATTGGTTAGTGGATCTAGTTTTTATTTTACTGTATGTTTATAACCTTTTGTATGGAGAGGATCATTTGGGGACATAGGCTTAGAAATAAATATATCATAAAGTAAAATAAATACATCATAAAGAAATACATCATAAAGAAATAAATACATCATAAAAAATAAATACATCATAGATTTTTTTTAAAGGTTTTTTTTTTAAGATTTATTTACTTATTTTTACAAGAACCGGGGTACAGGCCAGATGCGTGAGAGTGTGAGAGGATTCACTAGAGACAGAGATGGGAACAGAACAGGCAGACTGACGAAATACACTGCTGAGGGGAGCAGCGGATGAGACAAGAGAGGTCTGCCACACCATGTGGGACCCTCGCTGGCCAGCCGGGATCAAACTGGCACTGTAGAGGCTGTGGACAGCTTCACAGCGCGGCGCTCAACCGCCTGCGCCACCAGGGGAGGCCCACAAAGGGTAGATTTTTAAGCAAAATATTTGGTTTTCCTGCTAATATATATATATACTTTTATTGTAAAATGCTGACAAGGTGTAAACTAATTAGTTGCTATAGAAATCCTCTGCAAATATCATTGCACAAATTTAATAGAGAAATTAAAGGATCCAGAATATTATGGACTGTGCACATTAATTATGGTTAATGATATATAATTAGTGGGTTAAGAAGGAGTTTGTGTTTGAACAGAAAGAAGGAAAATGAATAAAATGAATTTCTCAATCTAGTAATCCACTTTGACATAGTAAGCTGTGAGGACTTAAACTTTTCTGGTTTTATTTATTTATTTATTTTAAAAGATTTATTTATTTATGCATACAAGAGTTGGGGTACAGGCCAGAGATGCAGGGGGTGAGAGGATCCACCAGAGACAGAGTGGGAAAGGCAAACTGACGAAATATACTGCTGAGGGGAGCAGCGGGCGGCAGGAGAGGTCTGCACACCATGTGGGACCCTCGCCAGCGGCTGGGGCGGGGGATCAAACCGGCACTGCAGAGGCTGCGGGCAGCCTTGCAGCCCAGTGCTCAACCGCTGCGCCACCGGGGAGGCCCAAACTTTTCTGATTTTAAATATAACGTTAAATCTTATTACTATCATTTAATGACTTGAAAGGAGGTTCTCTTTTATCAGATTTGTCTTTCGCTTTCATGCTAGAGATTTTAGAACTTAAACTAAAGTATATGAGATAATAAATAAAAGGTCTTAATGGAGTAGATTCAAAAAAGCCAAAATCACCTTTTCAGAGAAGCTTCCTTTGTCCCAAATAGCACATCTCCCCATCCAACTATTGTGTTACTGTATCTTATTGTCTCCATAGCACTTATTATGTGAAATTATCCTTTGTTTATGTTTGCCTTTCCATCTGTATCTTGTTTGATCAGGATCTTGTCTTGGTTACCTCTGCATGTTAATTTTGTGCTTAGTGCCTACAGGATATCCACAAGTATCCATAAAACAAGTATGCAGGTCAAGTGCTGTTCAGGATATAGGCCCATATGCATTAAATCTTGTATCTCAACAGGACATTCCCAATTAGAGGCTTTCAGATATACGATGGGCCCATTCATCTCAGCAGGTGCACTTTCAAAAAATATGTGCCAACTTCAGATAGGTATACCAGTGCTATTGGCTTCCTCATGAAGAATCCCTGGCAGATAACTCCCAGGAATAACATCTCCCTTGTGAAGTTTGGTCCACAGGTACGTATGTTCTAATGGTTTCTCTATGGAAGCTATGATAGGAGAAGGAAGGATAGCACACTCCCAAAGATAACACAAAGGATTTGCATGGAGTCTTTATTACTGGGAGGAGAAATACATGCGAAAGCGACTCCTAACTCTATGCACTCTGTCCCATTGACTTCAATGTGAAAACAGATGTCCCATGTGTCTTTGGGGGGTATTTTTGACATTCAAGTAATATCATGAAAGGGAAAATCACTTAAAGTGATAATGTGGGGGTTGTAGTGTCCTAAGAATAGAGGACATAGAATTTGTGGAGATTTAGCGTCATGGATTCTGTCTGGTATTTTACTTGTCTGGGACTTGTTCTTCTGGGGAAAAGAGGATGAAAGGTTGAGAAAGAAGAGAAATACTTGGGGTGTATGATACCAATTAGATTATTTCTAATATGTGAACTATTAGAAGATTTTTATGAGGATCGCAAATAAGACTTGAAAATACTAGTTTACAATGCAGAACCCACCATAATGGTTTTGGCAGTTTCATTAGTTCCCCCTGATCTTGACATTCGAGGACAATCTGTTCACATACCCCAGCCTTGCCCGTCCCAAGATGTCAGTGGAGTAGAGAGGCTGAGTCTCAGACATCTCACTCCTCAGGTCTCAGGCAGCCGCTGTGGGAAAGTGACGCATAGTTCTTTCATTCACATACACACACAAACTTTGTGTTTGCCCAGCTTAAAACATGGAATTGAACATGGAATTGTTTAAAACATGGAATTGTTTGCCAAAGTCTGTATCTGGTTTTCTAGAATACCCAGGGCATAGAACAGAGATGTGGGTGCAAAGTGAGATGTCGATACTTAGTTGGCTGGTTCTCTTTCAGGCTACGGGCTCCAAGGGAAGGGGAAGACTTCACAGGCAGATAACTTCCCTTTTAAGTAAATAGGGTGGGTCTCAGTTCAGCTCTTCAGTGTGGGTGCTGGCTGTTCACTTACTGCCTATATGGACCTCCCCTGGTGTAGAGTTTAGTGACCACTGACATGGTCAACTAAGAAACAGATGTTGCAACTGTCAGATGTTGCATTTGTTATTGAGTCCTGGAGTTGGAACAGCAAAGAGAATTCGTGCCACTGAAGTCTAGAGTTCCATCAGCCTGGACTTGTCTATGGGGTGATGTTGTGGAAATAGTTTGTAAAGGGTCCAGCTTGCAAAATTTATTCTGCCTGAAAAGGTGGAAATTATGCACTAACCTTCTTTTAGATTTAATCATGGGGCACAAGGGCAAAGAGAGAAGAATCTACAACAAAGAACCTAGAACCACTTGTCCTAGATACCATCGTCTTTTCATTGATTGCTCATCATTGGATGTTCAGTGCCAAGTGCATAAAAGCATTGAGAGGTGCTTCTGTGTCACTTGAGGCATATTAGCAACATGTCACTAGTAAGTAACAGCTAAAGCCCGAAAAGTGTCACCTGCAGCCTATGTTGCAGCTGCCAGCTCTGTTCACTACAGGCTTGGAATTAACTCTACCTAATATGAAAAGTACTGAGCCGGGCTGGTCTGTCTTGAGAGAAAGTAACACACTTTCAACAGATACTGGTGAGCTCAATGGTGACTATGCCGCACAAATTCTTTTGAACCATACTTATTTTTTGGTGAGGGGAGTCATGTGAACAAATAATGAAAGCATTTGAAGTGAAATATAATGATTAGCAATGAAGATAGAGATTGTGATAATAGATTTTTTTTATTTGAGTTAGAATTTGCATGAAGGGAAAAGCACAGATCTTAAACGCAAAATTTATATTTTTTAACAAGTATGTCTGACTGCATAGTTTTTCTTCCCATAACAGTTCTGATTTCACCCCTTAACTGTTGTGATTTCATCATAGTTTGTTTTGACAGGAGAATAGCAGTTTTTTAGGTAGAAAAAAGTCAAAAATTAAATTTAATATTTGCCACTTGAACTCACAAGGCTTTGAGGATGTTTTTTTTCCCCTAAACATGTCAGAGCTAATTGGAAATCCCTACTGACTTGGCACTGCAGTTGACACCTTTGCACTGTGACTCAGCACTTAACCTTAAAGCAGTGGAGGTGTGATGAGACCCTTGGAGGGATGCCAGCTGAGCTGGCAGGAACCCTTCTCACCTGGTGATGACCCTGTTCTTCACTGCTCTCAGGTGTCTCTGAATGTCTTCTTTGGAAAGCCTGGCCCCTGGTTTGAAGATTGTGAGCTGGATGGTGATAAAAACTCCATATTCCATGATGTTGATGGCTCTGTGACAGGATACAAGGATGCTTATGTGGGAAGAATTGACAACTACCTGATCCGCCATCCAAACTGCGTGAACATGACCAAATGGAACGCAGTGATCTGTAGCGGGAACTATGCCCAGGTAGGCTGAAGGGCACTGTGCGGCCGATCTCACCAGCAGCTGACAGCACTGCTTCTGGAGGAGTGCTCTTCCCTCCTTGGTGTGATTGACACTTCACAAAGCATGATTTTGCTCTAAGAAAAAAATTTCATTAGGAATCATGCCTCATAGAATTTTATTTAAAGCTCACCTGCTCTAAAACAATTTGGCAAGTAGCGAAATGAGCTCAGAGAGGTGAGGTGCTTTGCTGTTGGTTAAATAAAGAAACTGTATTTCTTAAGCCAGTTATTTTTTGTTGTTGGTTTGCCCTGCAACAACTGTGTCCTCCAGAGGGAATTTTATTCTTTGTTCTCAGGGTCATTATTTCTACTGTATTAGAACATCTATTTTTTGAGGCAGAATATCAACATGTCACATGAAAAATGAGGTGTTTCGGAGCCAGAGCTAGGAGTTAGAAATAAGTGGAAAGGGAAGGAGCCCTAGGAAAGTCTTGGAATTACAGCTGACCCTTGAACAACACAGGTTTGAACTGGCCACTTACATGCAATGTTCACGATTCAATCAACAGGGAGTGTCAGTTAAATTTGTGGATAAGGAACCTGTGAATTGATGTGCGTATAGAGGGTGATTTATATAAGGGACTTGAGCATCTGCAGATTTGGGCTATGGGAGTGCAGGTCCTAAAACCAGTTCTCCATGGGGATCAAGGGAATGTTGTAAAATTTGGGGGGAATTCAGAAGTTAATATTTGGATTTTCAATTGTGTGGAGTCCAGTACTCCAACCCCTGCATTGTTAAATGATATATTATTAAGTAATACCTATGATTAGGAAACACCCCTTTGAAATATTAGGCTAGTGTGCACTTCTAACTTAAAGCCCAGCATCAGAGGATGAGCTAATTTGGGAGGGTGTATGCTAAAAGCACACACTCTGGAGCCAGATGGCCTGCATTTTCTTAAATGATTGGGCAAATTCATTAGCTATTTAGTCTCCATGCACAAGGGTAATAATAATTCCTTTCATAGAAGGTTGTTGTGAAGATAGAATGCATAAATATATGTAAAGCATATAGGGTGTGGCTTGTAGTGATGTGCTTGCTGCAGTGAATAGTATTTGAGGAAGAGGGCATTAGGTTGTAGAGTTGATTTTAATAGCTGGACATATTTGAATGGATAGAAGAGATTGCAAAATGGAGGTACCAGTCCCCCCATTTTTTTGCTATAATTTGGGGAAGAACCAGAGACCTTCCCAGGGGAGCTGCAGTTGCATAGTCCCAAAGGGATGGAAGCAGACTCTTTGCTGATTTGCTGCTGATTGCTCTTACTTGTCGGGTGGCTTCTCCTGGAGGATGGGTTCTGTGATGTAGCCCCTCTGCTGAGCTTTGCCTGCCACACAGGAGGGCTCTTGCTTTTCTACTCTTTGAGCCCCCTAAGGTGTGTGTGTGGCTTCTGCCCCCAGCCTTCTCTAGCGGGGCCCCTTGAAGCAGAGTGCTTCGTCGCTTGCCTGACTTTGAATCATGACTGTTAAAGAATGATTTCATTCTGAAATTTAAAAAATCTTTAAAAAGATTGTTATCAATAGACAAAATACAGGCATAAGAGGGATGCTGATTGAAGCGCTATTCTGATTGATTTCAATGAATTACCAGCTTCTTTATTGTGGAATTTCTCTTTCCCGAGAATAATAAAGAGCAATACTTATCTGAGTTCTGGGAGAGAAAAGGGTGAAGAATTAACTACAGTAAAATAAAAAAGAAATGTAATTTCCCTTTTTCCATTTATTTTATCCTTCATCAGAATTGCCCCTTAAAATTATATTGACCTATTCATACCTAGGAATCTACAGAAATTCTAGAATTAAAATGAACAATAATGTTTCAAAGTAATATTTCTTCAATAAAAAAAGAACGAAAAGTTGTTAGTCCTTTTGTAGCTACATCTGTGGCTGAATTTCTAGCTACTTGTATGCAGAGGGTTGTGTCTAAAAGCGGTTGGTGCTCACTAGTAAAACTTTATTTTTCTAAAGTTACTATAACTGGGTCTATAAACTTTTTGGATTTCTAATGTCTTTGAGCATGTGAACCTGATCCTTCTAGCTTACAAGACAGAGTAGCACTTCTCTTTTTCTTGGAAATAAAGAAAGAAAGAAGTTGAGCTGGAAAATGAGGACTACAGATCTAAAATTGTCTCCTGAAAATTTAAATTTTGGGCTAGGAGCCCAGGTATACTTAGAAATAATGTATAATATTATGCACAAGAATATATTTTTAGATAAAAGAGAGACACAACTGGATCACTAGATAGGATAATCATTACTTAGCTTTTTGTAAAGGTATCTTAATGGAATGTCTGCTCTTTGTTGACCCAGGGGATAAAGGTGCTCAGAAAGAAAGGTGGTAGCATAAGGATCACTAAGGTTACATGTGCCACCTCATGTCTTCAGACGCAGGAGAAAGCAAGATCTGGATCTGTGTATGTGTGTGTGTGTGTGAACTATAGATGCAGTATAATAATAATATATATTAAGTATATATTTTAATGAAGGTTATTAGTAGTTCTAAAGTATTTTTTTCTATTTTAAATCTATAAAATTTTCTATTTTAAATCTTCATAGGAAGAATTACATTGCAATAGTCAAGGGTATATAAGAGTTAAGATTTTTTGATTCAAAGAACATGTAATTGAGTAATCAATATATGAGTAAAGCTGTAGAAATGACAAAAAGAAAAAATGGAGAGAAGTATTATGGATTAAATGTCAGTATTCTGCAAATGTTTTAACACATCTGAAGAATTCTACTAGGGATACTGATATATTTTAGGAAATTGTTCTGAGGTTTATTCTTTGGAAGATGCAATTGGGGAAGGTTGTGTTTTGGTTCAAATGCCATTAGAATAAATCAGAACTTTCAAATTTGTTCCAGTTTAATATGTTTTTTCCAGTTTTTGCAGAGCACTTTATAACTTTTTTTTTTGGAATGGGTGAAAAATGACTTCTTGGACTAATGTAGTTCATGGAAAATTGAAAGCAAAGCTCTTAGATATTTAAATTTTCCATTTCTTGGTTTAGAGAAAAGTCTCATTTGACTCAAGGGTATCAGATTTCACAGTCATTTACTAATTTTTTATACATATATTCTTTAAATTGAGGGGTTTCTGTGACATGCTATATGAACCGCAACAGTTTTATATTCTGGTGAATAAGCTGGCTTGTTATGATGGAAGAGATGATGAAGACCTTGGCTAGCAGAATGCATGGCCTGTATTTTTTACCATTTCAATAAGCAGGCTTCCTTGTAAGTACAGCTTCGGATAAAGTTGGCCACCCCTCATTTAGTCTGGCACAAATCACAAAATCTCTCTTTTGGAAGTAAAGACACTTAGCTTTGTGCTGGAAATGCTTGCTGAGCTCTTTAAATTTTCATTCTCTTCCCTTTGATTTCTAATCCCCTTCATTTCTGAAGGTCTACGTGCAGACATGGAGCACTCAGAATCTCTCTATGACTATCACACGAGACGAGTATCCATCCAACCCCATGGTACTCCGGGGCATTAATCAGAAGGCTGCCTTCCCACAGTACCAGCCTGTGATAATGCTGGAGAAGGGCTACACCATCCACTGGAATGGCCCAGCACCACGGACTGCTTTTTTATACCTCATAAACTTTGATAAGTATGTTTCTATTACTGTTATTCCACAGTTAAGCAAGTAGTAATTTAGTGGAGAAAAACAATAATATATCTCCTTTGTAGCAGGTGGGGAATGCCAATTTCATGTACTGTGCTGGTGGGGATGCTGTATATTTAATGTCGATGGGATTAAGATATTACACAAATTGAATTTTGTCATTTTAAAAGCATTTCTTTTTCTCTGTGGTCAAGGTATTATGTGCAAAAAGCCACTTAACAATAGGGTATTTTTTCTTTGGTCCTCTGTAGCCTTTATTAAGTTGAGGTTGAGGTATGTCCCATCTGTTCACTCTTTATTTTTTACATCATTGTTCAAACAATAGGTTTTAGTGTGGTCTTCAGATTACTTTAATTCCCCATAGCCTGGATGGGTTGGGTTTGTCTGGTATTCTAATTGAGCACTTGGTTACCTGAGAAATTATAAGATTTTTGAGGACAGGTTTAGACTAGATAGATGAGAATGGTGTGCTTGATTAGTAGTGTCTGCTATGGGCAAGAATTGTGTCATGAGTGCCAGGTATTTGTCACCTCTGCCTGGAAATGTCTTCTGTCCTTTCTTGATGTCTCAGTTGTTTGTCCTACAATATCACTTTCAGTCAAAGGCTCTATGTTTACATAAATTTGTACAAGTGTTAATTGTGTGCAAGTTGATAGAAAGATAAAGGAGAAAAGTGCTAGCCCTAGGAGCTCACAGTTTACAGATAGGAGGAAAAAAAAAACTCAAGTCACAATACTATTTTTTTAATGGACAAATGGTAGAGCAACTAATTTTCCTAAGGGCCTTGTGCCAGGCTACATGAGAAAATGAAATGGATTCAGTGATCAGACTTATCACAAAATAGCAACTCTGCGCCCCAGCAGTAGAGATGGGAAAGATTTGCTTGTGCTCAGGGAAGATGGATTCAATGTGATGGGAGCACTGGGTGCATCGGGGAGGTGGCAGAAAAAGTAAGCCAATCACATGATGGTTAATCTTTGGGGCTCCATGAAACTGCACAGACATGGATCTGAAAAATTTAAATAACTTGTTGAACTGACAGCTCATGAAACTGACTTGTCAGAATGTTCTTAAAACACTCAACTGAAATTAACAGAGGTGGGCATTGAACATGTAGGAATTCTGCTCTAAGAAGGTTATTTCCAACGTGGGTGAAGTTCACAGTAGATGTCCTTATTCTGAGATGTTAGGTCTCTGGCTCTAGACTGAACCATTGCTGTTTTCACAGTAACACTTGCTGCTCTCCTCTCAGCCCTTGCTGGAGAATCCCAACCCATCTGTTGAGTCAACTGACCCAGAACTCACGGGACTCCTCAATTCTTTCCCCTCATATACCTATCCCATCAGCAAACGAACCCTGTTGGTTCTATCTCCCTAATGTCATTCAGTCTCTCTACTTGTACCCACTTTCACTGCTTCTGTGACTGAGATCAGGCCACCATTCTGCCTTGCTTGGAGCACAACAGTGGCCTCCTACTCAGCCTCCCCACTGCCGCGGACCAGCACAGCAGTAGACAGTAGACGATGAGGCCACCTCAGGGTTGAGAGAAGCGTGCAGGGTGGTCAGGGCGTCGGCGAAAGAAGTGACAAACAGACACACTTCAAGAGTGAAAATCTGAGTGTAATTTTCTTTGAGTTTGTGACCAGTATATATATGTTTTCCAAAAGCACAGGAATGAATATCAAAGAAATTAGCTTGCTCATGGGCTCAGTCTATCACCATCAGGGAGGTGATCTACATAACAAACAATGACCATTATAGAAGAAAGGAGGAAGTTTAGAAAGACAGATAAGGGATTAAAGTTTGTAGTTCTAGAAAGATGGAAAAGATTTTTAGCATTCTTGTAGTGGTTCTTGGTGGTCGTTATCTTTTGATAAGCTTCTGCCTTTTCAGGGCACTTCCTCTGCTTCAGGCTGTTTCCCCCCCCCCCCCCCCCCCCCCCCGCGCGCGGTCCTAAAGATCACTGCGGGGGGAGGTGCAGCAGGTAGGGTTTTGCTGTTCTTCCCCTGCGTGCTGGTTGCCCAGCCGGACCTAGGGCCGGTTAGCCCTAAAGGTCACTGCAGGGGGAGGTGCAGCACCCCACCTCTAGTCTTTAATCCACGTTGTGTTCATGATGAGGTTTCTGAAAGTTCAGTTTGATATTATTATTCCCACCTGTGAGCTGCAGAGAAGTCAAGGGAAGAAACCAGTGAATATTCAAGAGAACAGAGGAGAAATGCTAAAGAATGAGTGAAAATAGTTATATCTGGCAGCTTAGGGATTTGAGGTGAAATGTCACAGCCAAATGGTGTGCAAAGTTCTATAAATACCTTGCATGACTTTTGAAAAATTACTGAACAAGTGAAAATACTTTTAAGTGAAAAAATATTGCACCCAGAAGTTTCAAAAATCTACATGGGCCTGAAATTCTGTCAAACTTTCCTTGTTTAACTAGCTAAAAGTTTGTAAAAAATTACATCATGGGTAGAGGCAAAAGGAAGAGATGAACAATTTTTGTTTTCAAATTCAATTTAATTATAGAGGAGACATAGATTTTGTCATAGTGCCATGTTTGAAAATAACATTTTAGGAGTTATTTTCTTCTAAAGTGCATTTTAGAAGCTGTACTTACTTGTCAAACAAAATAAAAAAAATACAGAAAAGCATGAAAAAGATTGGAATAATCTGTGTTTCTTTCAGTCAAAGTGAGGCATTGTAAACATTTGTAATGTTTTCCTGTCTCTCCACCCTCAAGGGTTTTCTGAGCATTAGATACACCAAAATTTGTTTAACTGCTTCCTTTCCCTGCACACATTTAGGCGGTTTTTTCTCCTGCCCTCCCTTTTACTATTATAAATGGTGCACTACATAAAATTCTTATATATTTTTGGTCTGCATTTCCAATTCTTTAGTGGGATTGCTAAGTGAAACATGTGGGAACAATTTTAAGTCCTTTTTACATATTGTTTAAAAATTTCCCTTTGTGATAAGAAGTTCTGGCAGTGGGTAGTAGTGATGGTTGCAAAACCTTGTACACATAGTAGGTGCCACTGAAATGTAGTGAAAAATGGCTAACATGGTAAATTTTGTAGTGGATGTTTAATTCATAATTTAAAAGCCACCCCAAAACTCGAGTGATAAACAGCAGAGATATTTTTGGGCCTCCCCTGGTGGCGCAGCAGTTGAGCGCTGGGCTGCGAGGCTGCCCACAGCCTCTGCAGCGCCGGTTCATGCCTCAGCTGCCGGCGAGGGTCCCACAGGAAAAAAAAAAAAAAAAAAAAAAAAAAAAAGCAGAGATATTTTTAATGGTTTTCTAAAAGTTTTAATTTTTTTTTAAAGATTTATTTATTTATGCATGCATGCATACAAGCAAGCACTGGGTACAGTCAGAAGCGTGGGAGGGTTAGAGAATTCACCAGAGCGGGGAACAGAGCAGGCAGACTGACAAAGTACACTGCTGAGGGGAGCAGCGGGCGCGGCAAGAGAAGTCTGTGCGCCATGTGGGACCCTTGCCAGCGGCCGGGGATCGAACCGGTGCTGCAGAGGATCGAACCGGTGCTGCAGAGGCTGCGGGCAGCTTCGCAACCCAGCGCTCAACCGCTGAGCCACCAGGGGAGACCATAAAAGTTTCAATTTTTAATCTAAGGGCAACAGATAAGAAAAAAACTATGGCAATTGGGTAAAACGCATCAAAACTTTCAAAAAATGCATATACCATTATAACCAGCAATTTTGCTACTAAGAAATTAATCTTAGTATACTTACAGAAGATAAAAATATTTTCATGCACAAAAAATTCTTTGGAGCAGTTTTACCAGTGTGCATTTTATTATCAAGCTTAGTGTTTCTTCAGTCTGAGTACATACACACCTAACCATTTTCACTTAATTTTATTATTCATTTGCAGTATCTTAAGTGCACTTTGTATAACTTCTGTTCACATGCCCTGAAGTCCTTTGGAAACCAAGAAATTTTTGTAAGCCATATTATTATGGCAAATAGATTGATGAGAAAATTGTGGTTAACACATAAAGGTGAATGATTCCTTAGTCTATCAGGGTGTAGGATTTCCATTGTAAGCAATTGAATACACTGCAGAAATTTAAAGAGAAGAAGACACACTAAAATTTATATATGCTATAATAAGAGATTTGGGCTAAAATGTGAATTAATTTTTTATTGTCTCTGTCATAGGAATGACTGGATTCGTGTTGGCCTCTGCTATCCATCCAACACAAGTTTTCAGGTGACCTTTGGATTTCTGCAGCGACAGAATGGCTCATTATCCAAAATGGAAGACTATGAGCCAGTGAATTCATTAGAAGAGCTACAGAGGAAGCAGTCTGAGAGGAAATTCTATTTTGACACCAACACAGGGTAATTTAATGTAACCAGTGAATGAGGATTATTGCTATTTTTCTTTAATGGTGAAATTACTAGTTCTTCAGCAGAGCTAAGAATAGGCTATGATGTGACTGCTGTTTAGAAAAGCAGCTGATGTGGGTAATTCTCTGCTCATCGCTATTGGAGGTTTGGAGCAGAACTGGAATGACTCGTAATTATAGCTGGCAGTGGGATTCGAGTGAAGATGTTTGCCATATACCTATTAAGGCAATTTAAAGAAAAAATTATCCTTGTCAATAAAGAACTGCCAGTAGGCCCAATTGGAAATTAAAATAATTTTTTCCATAACTCTTACGATGATTATTTACATGTGATGGCGTTGCTATTTCAGTGAAAGTTCAAATTTCTTATGCTTTAAAGCTATTTCTCAAGTTGACCTAGAGCTTTTAAAAATCACTGTATAGGGCCTCCCCGGTGGCGCAGCGGTTGAGCACTGGGCTGTGAAGCTGCCTGCAGCCTCTGCAGCACTGGTTCGATCCCCGGCCACTAGCGAGGGTCCCACATGGCGCGCAGACCTCTCCTGCTGCTCCCACTGCTCCCCTCAGTAGTGTGCTTCGTCGGTCTGCCTGTTCTGCTCCCTGCTCTGGCTCTGGTGAATTCTCTCACCCTCCCATGCTCTGACTGTACCCAGTGCTTGTATAAATAAATAAATAAATCTTTAAAAAAATAAATCACTGTATAACCTTGGCATATTTGCTTTCAACTTTATCTAGGCTGCATCTTTACACCTTTAATGCTAATCCTGTTCACCCAGGGTCCTGTTGGCTTTGTCTGCTTTTATCCTGTTACAGTCTCAGCCTTTGGGTTATGGTAGGCTCGATCTCCTGTATTATTCCAACAAACAGCATGCGCCTTCATTATCCACTCCTTAAGCCGATATTCCCACTACATGCCATTGCCTAAGTCCTGTAAAGATACTAATGTAAATTAGACATGTTTCTTCTGCAAACTCATGGTCCATTGAAGGATATGGGCATGTAAAGCAAGTCATTAGACAGTGAAAGATATACATGCCATAAATCCTGTAGTGTAACCTTCAGTGTGCCTTTTGTGGTAACCCAGAAATTCAGCTGAGGGAACCAGTGACATCCCAAGGGGGTGACACTGGACCTAACTCCTGAGGAATGAGCAAGAGGAGGTGGAAAAAGAGGTGGGCAAGGTGTCCCAAGAGCAGTGTGGATAGCTGCATGGAGGCATGGAAAAACATGGCATGGCATGTTTGGGGTAAACAAAAAGTTCAGACTGGGGAGAAGGGTGGCAGAATTGATGGGGGAATAAAGTTGGGCTTCCTTTATGTTAGCCTTTGAATAAAATGCAACTCTCTTGCCTTTCCAGAACCCTGTAGTGGCTTAAATCTTGATGTGTTCATTTTTTTCAATCATTTTTGTCTCTGATTTTCAACTTCTAATTGACTTCCTTTATATCACCTACCTCAACCTTTAATCTTTCGGTGACAGAACCTTTCACATTTTCAGTTGCTTTTCCACAAAAAATTGGAAACACCCAAATTTGTAAGGACAGTCTGGCAATCACAAATTAATGATTAACTGTGTAAAATATGGGAAATTTGTTTTCATCTGGGCCCCTTCAGAATGCCTCAGTCTTTGAGGTTGTTTCTTTTTAATTCTCTCTATTTTGACAATGTAATTATGTATCAAACGACCCATCTTCATGAGGTCACTCTCGTTCCTTATGTATATATGACGGATATACTGGATGTGGAGACGATGACTGATTTTTACCTCATAATTGCAACTTTGCATTTGTGTGAATTCTTGATCTCCAGGAATCAATCACATTTGATCAAGTCCTTTAAAATCTTGACTTTCTTTGGTTTAGAAGAGCTAGGTTTGCTGACAGATGTTGGATGGCTGCCTGGAAGTTACTTCTCTGTTCATCTTGGCAGTAGGAGGATAATTCAGAATGGGTGGGACTGTTCATTTTGCTTGATTTTGGCCAAAGCACAAACAGAAGGACCCCAGCCCCATCTGCTCTTAGCAAACATCACAGCAATTGATTTCAGACCATATCTTGGCCTTACATGAACAAGCCATATTTAGTGTTTTTATTGTTCCAGTTTTGTGCCTTAAACCAAAATGCTTTATTAAAAAAAAGGAATAAGCCACACTAATTTACCAAATCCTAAATTCAACACAAATAAGAAGTTTTCCAAGAAATTTTTGAGCCAACTCAAATTCCATTCTCCCAAAATACCTATTGAGCTAATTCAAACCAGAAATGATTTTTGATATCTTCCAGAATGACTGAATCAGAGTATTAAGATATTTTCTAACGTGATATTTGCATTTGGCTTAGGAATCTAAGAGGCTAGAAAGGGAAAGAAGAATGACATTATTAGTTTTGTAATTTTATGTTTTCTTTAAAGGAAAAGTGACTTTTCCTTTAAAGAAAAGGGAGGAATGTCTCCTTTTGGCCATGTGTTGATCTGAGGAATTTTTGTGTGTTGGAGAGTCAGTCTTTAACACCCCATGGGTTGGTTTCTGTTTTGTGCAGGTTGCTGTTTTTGTATCTCAAAGCCAAAAGCCACAGGGATGGCCACAGTTACTGCTCATCTCAGGGATGCGAAAGAGTCAAGATCCAGGCAGTAACAGACTCAAAAAACATCAGTAACTGCATGGCTAGAGCATATCCCCAGTATTACAGAAAGCCCTCCGCGCTCAAAGCAATGCCTTCCATGCTTAAAGGGCCCTGCCAAGGTTGTGGGACCCATCAGGTAAGTTGGGCTGGGACTGAAAGAATCAAAAGGTTTCTTCAATTTGGTGCATTTTTCCTTCAATTGTCTGTTTGCCTGTTTCTCCTGAATTTTATCCTGCTTTAAAGAAGCAAACTAGTCCAACTTTATAATAAAAGAAACTTCCCTTGTGATACATCAGCAGAAGATGACTGTGGATTTACTGATCTTCATCTTTTATTTCTTGGATATGATTCTTTTATAAAAGTGCTGTCTGGTTTTCATGTCAGTGATACAGAAAAATAATTTGTTTTATTGGGAGTGTGAAACTTCTACAAAATACACCTCGTGAAAAAAATTACTGCCTTTTTCTTAAATTAGAAAGGCTTTCTTAATCTTGTAAAATGTGCTGTTAATATTTGCTTATATATAAAAGTATAGACTGACTTTGGCTAGAAATGAAATGCTCCTACATATTCTTAATTAGATGGTCTCTGGATTTTGAGCAAACATGACAATGAAAGTAAATCCAGAATATAAGCTAAAATCTGGCGTGGAGTTCAGAGGAAGTCAGACTAATTCCAAGTGAAAAAGAAGTACAGAGCTAATACCACCCTAATTAATAGCTATACAAACAAATACAGGTTAAAGGAAATGGTTCTCAAAGTCGGTCCCCAGACCAGCAGTATCAGCATCAGCATCACTTGGGAACTGTGAGAAATCCAAATTGCTGGGTCCCACTCCAAGTCCTTACTGAATCAAGAACTCTGGAGCTGGGCCCAGGAGCCTATGCTTTAACAAGCCCATGTGATTCTGATGTATGTTCACATTTGAGTTTCACTGGACTAGAAGATTTTTCAACAGCAAGAATTGTCACAAAAGTGCACACTGTGGATTAATATAGAGAAAACTTCTAAATCTCTTTCCATTTCTTTTCATTCAGAGTGATTTGAGGGAAAAAAGTCAACTACATCAGGTTTTTATTTCTAATTTTCCTCATTAGTTTCCATTCATCAGTGGCAATAAATGCATGGAGAGGAAGATGGAATCCTATTTCCTGTGATGATGTGTCTTAAGTGTTTTTTCAGTGGCAACTCACTGTCACAGTCTTGGATTCTAGCCCCATACCCCTTCTATTCTCCAATTAACTAAAACTAAGAAACTAACAGACCATCAGTATGAAGTTTATAGGGTTACATGCCTGTCTGTGTAGTATTTTGATTGTTTAGGTGACATTTTGAAATAATCTCTGCAGGGGAGTAAATCCTCCAGCTTAATTCACAAGCTGAATTTGTTAAGGAAGTCCTTCATTGCTAAAAAGATTTTATGCAATTTATGATAAGAATTCTAATAAATATTACAATTTATAAAGTGATCTAGCCATTGGTGATAGAACTATCTTGTAAATAAATTAATGCATTGCTTAGCAGTCTTTATTTTTGATTGAAATTGATCAGTTTTTCTGCTTGAAAATTAGTCAGAGTTAGCATTTCAAAAATGTACCGATTATTGACTTTGTGCAGTGGCAAAATATTTGAAGCCTCTGGGAAGACCACTTTTTCTTGTAAATTTGAGGGTAATTGTTTTGAATATAGAAAACAAATCCACATAGGGAAGTAGGAAGGAAAATTCACATGCATTTTAACCCCATAGAAATGTTCAGCTTATAAATGCTTACCATCCTGATGATCATGTGCTCTTGCAATGAAGTTGTTGGCATCAGTTTACAAGGTCATATACTTTCAAATGCTAAATTGTGTGTGAGATAAAATGTTTTTGAATGAGAAGAGAGCCTCTAGCAGGGAGGGAAGAGGTGGGACCTGGAGACTGGGAGTAATTTGGAGGTATAGGAAGAAAAGGGCAAAAAGTGTGTTCTTAGGGAGAATTTATCTGCAAAGGAAGAGAGACTGGAAAGGATAGGATGCACTTGTGAGCTTACTGCCCTGCCTTCTGATGGAACATGGGAAGTAGGAACAGCCTGCAGATAGTCACACCTGGCTTAATAATTTTCAGTCAAAAATAAGTGAATGTAGCAAATGGCCTGGGAGTGTGGTGGGCTGCAGCATCTAGGTTTGGGTGATTATACTCTCACAGTGGCAAAATAATAAAATAGTCTAATGACATATTCTCAGAGCACAGCTCTGTCTTTAAAGGACACAGGACTGTGTAAAGTGTGAGTCCATTTATGGGACACTTTGCAGAACAGGTGGAAGAGTTTAGACCTGGTAGTGCACAGCCCACCATGGACATAAACTCTGTTTAAATTTTTTAAACAGAGTGGACCTTCTCATCTACACTTCTTTTCTCAGTCCTGGAGTAGTTGACTTCCAATTTGGTCGTTTGTTGAATTGATTTCATTAATAAGATCACAATTATATGAAACAGGTTGTTTCAGAAAATGATTATGCATTTCTTGTATTAAGCTTGTATCAGAAGTTAGAATTTCATTCAGGTCATAAAATGTATACCAAAAGTTAAAGGGGAAAAAAAAGTCTGGCTTTGATATCATTGAATTTATTTTGAGAGGACCCTTTTGGAGGAAGACTCAGTTGATGTAAATATGGATCTTCTTCCCTGTCTAGGTGGTGTTTACTAGTGATCCTCACAGAAACTACCTCCCCGTGCAGTTCCAGTCACCCAGTAAAGCAGAGACTCAGCAAGGGGACCCTTCTGTTATCTCTGTAAGTACCATCTGGCATGTGTACTGATTCAGCTTCTTGCTTTTGTTTTATCCTGGTGACAGATACACATATTTGGATAAAATTAAATCTTACTTTTTTTCTTTTCTAAATTTTTCTGTTGTGGCAAAAATACATATAACATCAAGTTTACCTAAATCTTAACCATTTCTTTTAAAGATTTATTTATTTATGCATACAAGAACTGGGATGTAGACCATAGGTGTGGGGGCAGTAAGAGGATTCACCAGAGACAGGATGGGGAGCAGGAAAGGCGGATTGACTGAAATACACTGCTGAGGGGAGCAGCGGGCGAGATAGGAGACAGATGAAATGACAAGTTATTAATCGTCAGACAATAACTTTCCATTAAGATAAATAAGCCCTCAATATCTGCTATTACAACATTGTCCCCAACAGTCAACAATAATGTATGCTTAAAATTGTCGAGGGGCCTACCGTGGATTGCTGAGTGAGAAAGCTTGGCCCCTAGGGAGAAAAGTGCATGTACAAGAATAAAGACTTTGAACCTACAGCAGGAGTCACTCTCCACAGCAGAATGGACATCCCAGCCTTGCTCAGAGCATCTTAACCAGCCAGTAACGACAGGGCAAAGTGAAATATATGAGAACACAGGCAGAGATGTTGGTGGAGAAAGAGTAAATGGAATATGCACACTGAAGCCTAGAAATAAAATGATTCAAGGGTTTAGAAGACAGAGACAGGGGCTATAAAGACAAGTCATCCTGGGCCTCCCTGGTGGCACAAGGGGTTAAGCACAGCACTGTGAAGCTATGCACAGCCTCTGTAACCCGGGCAGCCAGGGAAAAGCCCACATGGTGCAGCAGACCATTCTGACTCGCCCGCTGCTGCCCTCAGCAGTGTATTTCAGTAGATCTGCCTCTTCTGCTCCCCACGCTGTCTCTGGTGAATCCCCTCACCCCCTACACCTCTGGCTTATACACCCCAGTTCTTATATGCATACATAAATAAATCTTTAAAAAAAATAAATCTTTAAAAAAAACAAGACAGGTCATCCTGCAGGTAATGAAATGGTGATGACAACAGAAGACATTTTTGTATTCTCAGGTCAACGGCACCGACTTTCCCTTCCGAAGTGCAGGTGTCCTGCTCCTTACTGTGGATGCCTGCAGTGTTCCCTTCCGGTTGGTGGAAAAAAAGTTTTTCTCTCTCGCTGAAATCAGTCGCCTGGAAGAATACTTACAAACAGGCATCTCTCCAAGGTACAGGAGACTTGTTCTGTAACAGGGATAAGCCACCACAGAGACAACACTTGGCTAACGCAGAGCTTTGGTTTGTCTGCCCGTCCTTTTACTCTGTGGGCATTTAGGATGCTTGAAAGGTATTTGTTTTTCCCCATCTCAGATTGATGCACATGTGGTCTAAGCCACTGCAAATCAATGTCAAGAGCTTGGATGTTATAAGAGTTTACAAATGGTAGGGAAGCACTTTAAGGAGAAAAGCTTAATACTTGGGAAAATTACTATTCACTTTTTAGTTTAATTTAATATTAAGTTGAGCTACATTGCACCCAGCTTGCCCAGAAGTTTCATTATGATTTTTATAGGTAATTTTACCATTGTAGTCCCCTCTACCTCTGATGCACCCCTGGACAGCATTGTGCGGTGATGTGGTCTATAAAACCATCACCTGGGTCACTTGGAAGTGACTAGAAAAGTACAAGTTGATTTTAATTGAACAAGTGGCTAGTCTCTCTTGTCAGAGCCCCAGTTTGTTAGTTTTCCTTTGTTTGTCTCTGAAGAAATATGTACATGTGCAAAACCTCCCTTTTGTGGAGGTTGGTCCTATCCAGGAGGCAAGGAGAGGAATTCAAGCTCCTTTCTGCCCTCATAGCTATGCTGTGGACCTTGGTTTCCACAAAAGGTCAGTTTACCTAAAGGATCTTTGTTTTCCCTATGTTTAGAGCTCCTCCCCTGCCCTGGTAATAGCAACATCAGTTCTAGGTGGGGCAGGGAACAGTAAGTATGAAAAAGCATCTGGCTCCAATTTTACTTTTTTTTTTTTTTTTTTTTAATTTATATAAGCACTGGGTACAGTCAGAAGCGCGGGAGGTTGAGAGGATTCACCAGAGACAGAGAACAGAACAGGCAGACTGATGCTGAGGGGAGCAGTGGGTGGCAGGAGAGGTCTGTCGCGCCATGTGGGACCCTAGCCTGTGGCCAGGGATCGAACCAGCGCTGCAGAGGCTGCAGGCAGCTTCGCAGCCCAGCGCTCAACCACTGCGCCACCAGGGGAGGCCCCAATTTTACTTTATTTTTTTGGAATTCTGCATTTTAACCTAGTCTTTCTATGCTGTATTCAGTTTAGAAGAGTAGTCAATTAATACTTGCTGAATGATTGAAATTTGCTCTGATTTTCTGTTACAGATCAATTGTACTGTTGAGCACAAGAGGAGAAATAAAACAATTAAATATTTCAGATTCATTAGTATCTCTGGGATTAGCCAAACCGACTCATCTTTATAACAAAGGTTTGCATTTGTTTTCTATAAAGTTCTTTTAAGGTCAACAATACATGTATTTTTATGGTGGAATATAGCTTCCAGACCATCTCCATGAGTTTAATTGGGGTGGATACCATTAAAATCATTTCTAAGTAAGGAGACAGTGTTAGAGGAAGTGTGTCGGGATGTGGTTTGTTATTTGGGGCAAGAGGTGGGTGGTAAGGGTTCGTTCCCCGACATAAGGAACTGTAGTTTTTGTTGTTTGTTGCGTACCCATTCTTGTTTCACACACCTCCAAGTCACCTCCCACGTTAACTTGTCTGGAACTAGTAGATATGTAAATTGAATTTTTCTTTTTAGGGAGTACCATATTTTTGGGATTCAGCGGAAACTTTAAACCATCATGGACTAAGCTAGTCACCAGTCCTGCTGGACAGGGCCTTGGGCTGCGCGAACACTTCATCCCTTTGCAGCTGGGTGACTACGGCTGCCCCAGAACTGGCACTGTCCGCAGGAAAGACCTGGAACTGTTAAAGCAAACTTCAAAAGCACATTAGAGACTAACTGTAACTTAAGTGCTGGGCGAAAAAAATGTGAACTAACTTATTTAATTTATGACATTTTAAAATGACACTGTTAACCCAACGGAACCATTTTCCTATTTGATACCGAAAGGGGAGAAAAGAAAGAGTTTAAAGTGATTGCTTGAATACCAGTTCATGCACCTTCTAGTTGTACAAAATGTTAAAGAGTTTATTTGTATTTGTTAGGCTGGTATAGTCAGAGAGCAGTTCTTTTATTCCTCACCTTCTACCCCAGTGTTTTCTAGTGAACGTGAGCAGTGTTTTAGCTTTTTGTATAATGGATGGGGTGGGGGTGGGGGCGGGGCTTCTGAGAGTCAGCCTGCATCCTTTAGGTGGCCAGCTCTTGTAGCACCTTGGATACTTGAAGTCTGATGCTTGGTTGTGTCCATTGGCTTTGGATCAGCAGTTGACTTGGGTGGCTGACTGGCTTGTCTAGGGCTGCCAAGGGCCCTGCTTCCCAGTAGCCTTTTAAGATTTTATATACTACTAAATGACAGAACTTTCAGTGGCAACTCAGGCCCAGCTCATACGCTATTTTGCCTGGACATGTGCTATTTTTATTCATTTGTATACTGATTCTTTCCAATGGTTCAGCTTTTCAAACAGGAAGGATTGGGACAAAAGGGCTTTTAGGGATTAGACGTCTCTTTAATCTGCAACTATTGGGCAAAATATTCAGCCTGCATGAAGGTCTGAGGTTGTCGGGGCCATTTTTGCAGCTTTAACCCTTAGTCTGTTTCGCCTGTATATTTGTGTTTAAAATGCAGAGCTAAGCTGAATATTTACATTTTTTTAAAGAAGCAGGCTGTTTTCCTGAACCATAAACTTGTGTCATTTCAACTTGCACAAAGGAAGTCTGTTCATGGGGTTGCTCCTGCACCCAGCTTTTTAGTTGTGATTTCTGTGTGTGGATTTTTCTTTAATGCTTTTCTGTTCACCATCCTTCCACAAAAATTGCAGAAAGCTGAATGATACCCTCCAATTTTGTACTTGGGGGAGAAAAAAGGGAGAGTGATTTAAGGGCCGGAATCATGAAGGGGATAATTCAGAAATGAATCTCTAATAGCTTTAGAGGAGTCAGCCACTCTTAAATTGTTAGGACCATTAGAAAAAGTTGCTGCAGTGCCCTCGTTCCCTTTCCACTGGGTGCCTGCATCTCCTGCTGCTGAGGATTCCACGTGGCAAGAGGAGATCAGCTCCACAGCCTGAACTCAGCAAGAAGAAAGTATCCAAATGCATTTACCTTTTCCTAAAACCATGTTGCATGAAGTGTAGTGGAGAGATGGCCACGGCGAGACTGTTAAAGTATTTTCCGACTGGTTTTGGCAAGAAGAACAGACAATTTTCTTTCCTCTACCAAGAGCAAAGGTCAACAATGACCTGTTGCTGTATGTCCAGGAGAAATTACAGAGCAGCTCTGTGACTTCTGTTACTTTACAAAATGTGCTACCTCAAGTGCTACCAATAAACCTTTCTAACTGTAAGTGCTCTTGCTAAGGGCACATGTCTTAATTAAAGTTTAGGGGTTTTGTTTTTGGGGTTTTTTTTGTATATTGATGAATGAGATCTTACCTATTAAATATATTATTGGATCATGGTTCCTGAAGGTGATTAAAGTTTGTGTGTGTTTTTTATGACTTAAAGATCTTTTATGTGTGTTTTTTCAAGTTTGGTTCTTTAAAGATTTGGAGAAGATATGTAAGTTTCAGGGCACTCAGTTGGCCTCACTTATTTGTTAATAATCAGGACCTAAGTTAAATAAAATTATGTGTGCATGTATTTTTTATGTACGTGTTTCATTCTATCAGTCAACCATTTCTTTATTCCAGATTCCAGCTGTGAAGAAGTTACTGGTAGAAATGAGGAAGGGAAACTGTCCACTAAGTAGATTTTGTGAGTAAGCTTCAGACGGGCAATGATTAAATTTTCCAGTCAGAGGCTCTTAATCTTGGCTGCACATTGGAATTACCTGGGAAGCTTTAAAAACTGCAGAGCACTGGACCCTGCACCTTAACCCTTACATTCAGATTTAATTGGCGTGGGGTGCAGCCCGGGCACTGGAATTTTTTTAAAGCTCCCTGGGTGATTCTAACACACAGCCAGGTTGAGGAGCCTCTGCACTAACACAATACACCCACTGTTGATACAAATTTTTGTGACTAAAAGATTATATTTATCTCTTTTTTTTTAATTTTTGACTCCTATATTACTTACAGAACACCCAGCCCTAAACAAAGCATTTCCTTTTGCCTCATGTTAAACTTTTAAATGCAGTTTTTTAGTCCTTAATCGTCTCAATTTGTTAAATTGGTCATCTAAGCTGATACACGCATTTCAGGCACCTGGGACCTAGCAGTCTGTTTTATTTTTACTGGGGAAATACATTCAGAGGTGATTTATAAGTTCATAAGCATTTTCCATCAGGTGAGGCAATTGGTCGAGATCCAGAAATGTGACCATCCACAAATCAGCCAGCTGATGAGAAACACAGGACCTTCTCGTATGTCGACAGACTCGAGTTTTGAGTCTTGGCTTGAGAGCCTTGCTTCTCCACCTGAGCCAACCTGCCATATAATATCTTCAGAAGCTGGAAGAGAGTGCTTGTGAGAAGATGAAAGGCAGACGCCTGGGCTTATAGAATCCAGACTCCAAAGCAGCCGCTAAGCTGATGTTTAGCCATGGTGGTGGGGAGGGCGATTGATGGCTCCTCTAGCATCATCAGAAGAGACCACATCCTCGAGCCATTAAGTGGATTACTTTGTTTTGAGGAGGGGTGGGCAGTGAAGTGATGCTTTAGATAACTGCCTTTCAATCCTTAGAGATGAGGTAATGTTTGGTTAAGGCCAGTTGAAAAATATTTCAGTAAGTGGGCCTGGGCTTAGTTAATCAAGTGTTTTTTCAGTTGGTCCTGGTAGGTGAGTACTTAGATTGCATTGTGTCATTGTTTGTTGAATTCGTGATGCAGCATTAGAGTTTACCCTCCAGAATTCCTGTTTGACTTTCAGGTACAAAACCATGTTGAATAACTTGAGAAATTCCCCTAGAGGGGAATTGGGAGTAACTGTCACAGATTTGTATCATTACCCTTAATCTTAACTTAGTAATAACCCAGTTGGCCAAAAAATGAGCAGACTCTCTAGGCTGAATCCCATTTTTAACAAAAGGTGAGGAAAAAAATCAAGGAAGGGTACATAATAGTCTCTCACATAACAAGATGCCATCCACCTCTTGCTGGATCATTGGAGTGATTTGGAAAGTTGAGTGACTTATTTTTATACCTGTACTTATCTTCAATATGAAAAAGAAACAAACAAATAAAAAAGAATGTTTGGTTAGGTCCCAGTGTTGTGGGGAAGCACACACAAACGACTTATTTTTAATTGAGGTGATGCTGGTTTACAACACTATATGATTATGGGGGGGATAGGTTCATACCTCCTCAGATGTGTGTCACCACACCACACCCATCATCAAAACACCCTAGTCCTTTCCTCTAGACTTTTGAGCGCCCCCCCCCCCGCCTTTTGTTGTTCCTGGCGCCTCCCTCCCTCCCTTTCCAGAAGTTCTATTCTGCAATCATTTTTCTAGGATTTGTTTTGGTTTTGTCTTTCTCCTCACTTATTTTACTGAACATAATCTGCTGCAGTTGTAACCATTTTGTTGAAAATGGTAAGAGTTCACAGACTTTAATGTGATAAAATTGGAGAACACCTGCCTGGAATATGATTTCTAAATGAGGAAATGTTCACCGGACATCCAAAAATATCAGCCATAGGAAGGTGTAGAAACATTTTATCTGAAAATCCAACCAAAGCAGGTCAGAAAACAGTTTCATAAAGGGCCTCCCTAGTGGTGCAAGGGATTAAGATGCAACCTATGAAGCTATCCGCAGCCACTGCAGCACAGAGTTCAATCTCCAGCGATGGAGCAACCCACATGGTGCAGCAGACCTCTCCTGACTCTCCTGCTGCTCCCCTAAGCTACGTTTTCCCGTTGATCAGCCTGTTCTGCTCCCAGCTCTGTCTCTGGTGAATCATCTCACCCCCTGAATCTCTGGCCTGTACCCCAGTTCTTGTATGCATAAATAAATAAATCTTTAAAAAAAAAAAGAAAACAGCTTCATAAATCATTAAAATTTTTTCCTAAGATGCGCAATGTGATTCATTTGGATATGAAAAGCGAGCAATGGTAAAATTCAAAGTTCATCCTCACAAAAGCCTAGTCTTAATGATCACAAATGTCCATCTAGGATCTAACAAACTGACCTATAGGGAAAACCTGTGCCTGAAACTTTTGGCACCAATTTTGAGTTACGAATGAATGGTTTTTATGTCTTTAAAGATAATAGGTTGGTTAAAGAATAATAGTTTATGATATGGATATTATGTGAAATTTAAATTTTGGTGTATTTATATAACCTTGTTAGAATACTAATACTCTTCTGCTTACATTCTGACGGCTTATGTACAGCAGTGACAGGTGAAAGGTGGCCACAGAGAAGACATAACCCATAAAGCTGAAGGTACTGACTGTTCATTCAATGAAAAGTTTGCTGAAACTTGACTGGGGTGAAAGGTACACTGGTGTTCATTTTTACTGTTCTGGAACTTTCCCGAGGTTTGAGAATTATTTAAATAGTAATCTGAATCTGAATTATGTATCAGAAGCTCCTGAAAAGCTTGATGAAAGTGCAGAGTCCCAAGCCACAGGCCAGACCAGAGAACTGGGAATTGGAACTAGATATATACTTTAATGAGCTCACCAGGTGTTTTTCATGAGAACTAAAATTTGAGAACCTCATAACATAATTAGTCTCTGCTGTTTGTCTCCTTTTCCTTCAATAGAGAATATACCTGAACAAATCTGTATAACTTTTTTTAAACTCTGGTGGCTCTGTCTATACTGTCTTCCCCAGACCTTTTTGTGACTAATGCAGAGCAGACAGGATGTATAGCACAGTATGAGCTCTTACTGGGGCAAATGTTTGGAGGCCAGAATAAAGTCCTCTCCACTAGGTCTGAAATTCTCACCAGAATTAGAATGATTCCTTTGGTCACAGTAAATTCCTACTTTGAAGCCCCAGCTATCTTTTGTTTCTGCAGGTTTATTATTTTAAAGAAGTTTAAAGGAAAATGTACATTTAGCTATAATCAGAATATATAGACTAACAAAAACGTAACTTTCTTTGTTTTGGGGGTAGAACTGTGTCCACCCTAGTTTTTTCTAACTTAAGGAGGCATTGCAGTCATGGCAACTGCAGATGCATTTTGTTAGAAAGTAGAATGAATTGTTTCATACAAGCAGTTTGTCTTGTGAGTAAAAGCCTTATCATACATGAACATCACCAAGGAAGTAGAGGTGGCTGGGTGGACTTTGGGGATAATGACATTGGTCCTCACCAGGAAAAGAGGGTGGATGCTCTGCGAGGGTGTGCCAGGTTCACCTTGTCACCAGTCTGTGTTGATCATAAATGCCCAATTATTGGGGGACAAAGGCCTAAGTCGATAGGTTTTTGATGTGAATGAACGTAGGATCTATAAATCTCAGGAAACTGAAGCATCATTAGCTCTTAGTGTGGGTGGGAGGAGGAGAAATTCTAATCAGAAAGACCACACCAAAACTTGTTGCATATAGTCAATCCTTAGGGAAAGTGGCCCTTCACGGAGAGTTAAGTGGAGCTGAGACAGTGAAGCTTCTGACACTGTCTGTTGCAGTTATAGTGGAGGTTGTGGTGACCAACCTAGGTCTGATGCCTACTAAGATTCTTTAGTAGTGGTTTACAAGCAGCTTCCTATTTCTTATCCTCAGCCTTCTCATCTATAAAATGAGATGACTAATAATACACTTGTAAAATTATGAAGGGGGTTATGTTAGAATAACCATAGTTCCCAAATACAGCATGTCAACAATTATGACTGAAAATCTGAGTGGTTTGTTTACCAAAACCTCAGATTTCCAATTACCTGTGAACTCTAATTTAGTTGTTTTTGTGAGGAGTATGGATTAAGAAATTTGTATTTTTAAAAACAAATGCCAGGATTGGGAACCACTGAGAATACCCTTTGAAAAGCCTCTGCCCTAGTTTTAACACACTTCCTGTACTCAATTGTCTGTATTTGGAAAACAGGACCTCAAGCCAGGCAATACTTGCTTAGTGAATTGGGTTGAGTATCCTCATGAGGTTTGCATTTATGCCCTTAGTTGCACTAGCACCGTAACTCAGCAGGCCAGCTGCGTATGGACAAGAGCTATGAAACCTGGAAGGACAACTATGAAATGAAACATGTGGCTGGACCCAGCTCTGCAGCTGGTGTACACGCAGCTGCCTGCTCTCCGTTCTGGGGAGGATAAACTTAAGTTCAGCTAATAGTTTGTTTCTTTTCATTCATTTTACCATAAGCTAATGGCGAATAAAAACAACTCATTTTTAATTCTCAATTCTTTAACTTTGACATTTTTACTGTTCCTTATCAAGTATAAAAGTGCTAACATGCAGTATATGGGTCATAGCTTAGGTTTCCACGAAAAGCTGAACTGAGAGAGCTTGGAAAATGAGAGATTTGACAACAAACCTTTCCATTTCTTTACATCCTGTTT